CCTAACCCCCTCCTACAGCCCCAGCAACCCACCAGTCCTTGTGCTTGTAGACCAGGTCGTCCCACCCCGGCACCACCATGCTCACGCCCTTGTACTTGCGCCACGGCAGCTCGAACTTCATGTCTGCGCGCGCAAGGGGGAAGGGTGGGGGGAGAGGGGAGGGGGTGGGGGAGAAGGAGGATAGCCGTGGATGAATTTCTGCCGGTAAAAGAATGACCGCCTCATCCACCCTTAACCGAGCTCGCGGCCTTGTACTTGCGCCACGACAGCTCGAACTTCATGTCTGCGCGGGGAGGGGGAGCGAGTGGTGTTCGGGCAGGGGATGGAAGGGAGGATGGTGCGAGGGGCTCGCAACGTGCGCCAGCATGTGTTGCAATGTTGCCATCATGCCTTCCCCCTCCCCGCCATCCCGCAATCCCCTGTCCCCAGACACTTCCCTCCACCCTCCCCCACCGCACCCCACTCCTTTTCAGCCCAAGGCACACCATACCCGTTATAATGGAGTCCGAGTCGATCCACCAGAACCACTCTATATCGGGGTGCGCGAGCATGAGGCGGCGCAGCAGCGGCAGCTTCTCCCACATGCCGTTCATCTCCTTGTCAAGCCGCACCATGTGGTGGTATACCACCATGCCGTGCGTGCGCGCATAGTCCAGCTTCGACTTAAGAAACAGAAGCTGGAAGTGGTCGCCCACGCTGTGCTCGCACGGCTTCGGCTGGGAGGTTGACACGATCATGACACGTGGCCGCCCGTCACTGGTCGCGTTGCACCCGGGATTCAAGGCAATGTGCTCGGCGCGCTGCTCGTCCCAGTCTGTGGGGCCGGGGCGCGGGGAAAGGGGGGGAGAGAGGGGGAGGGGTCAGGGGAATACGGGGGAACGCAAGTGCTCGGCGCGCTGCGCGTTCCAGTCTGGGGCGAAGGAGAGAAAGAAAGGAGGCGCGGATCAGGCAAGGCAATGGGGGAAGAAAGGCGAGTTTCGGGGGGGGGGGAGAGGAAGAGGGAGAATGGAAGGAAGGGGGGTGGAGGGGGGGGGGGGAGATCGTGGCGAGGGGGGACAGGAGGGAGGATGGCGGACGAACTGCGGGAAGGGAGGTTGGGTTGAAGATGGAAGACCGACGAGAGCAGCGCTATGGCACCTGCGATGTTAGCCCATGCGGTATCGTACCTGTGTTGTTAGTCCATGCGCTATCGCACCGGCGACGTTAGTCCATGCGCTATCGCACTGGCGACGTTAGCCCATGCGGTATCGCACCGGCTACGTTAGCCCATGCGGTATCGCACCGGCGATGTTAGCCCATGCGTTATCGCACCTGCGATGTTAGCGCATGCGCTATCGCACCTGCGATGTTAGCCCAAGCCTAACATACCTGTGATGTTGGGCCCCACGCGGTACGGCAAGTTTCTGTCCGCCATCTCGTCCTGCAGAAAGAGCAGCTGGCTCTCCCGCGACTGCCATGTGGAAGAGTGGGCCGGGTGGGGAAAGAGGGGGGGGGGGGGGGGGCGGCCGCGGCGGAAAGGGAACGCAAGGTGAATGAGTGGGGCTATGGGCGCACGGAAGGGTTTTGGCCGCCTTCTTGTCCTGCAGAAAGAGCAGCTGGCTCTCCCACGACTGCCGTGTGGGAGAGAGGGGAAAAGAGGGAGGGGAAGGGAGACAGGAAGGCAAATAAGGGGGCACGAACGGAGTTTCTGTCCGCCATCTCATCCTGCAGGTGGAGCAGCTGGCTCTCCCGCGACTGCCGCGGGGGAGACGGGGAAAGTGGGGAGGGGAAGGGAGAGCGGAGCGGAAAGCGGAAACGCGAAGCAGTGAAAGAACGAATAACGAAGCCGTGCGTGAAAGTATGAGATCCAAAGGCACACAACGAACTATGTAAGCGGTGGTTGCTACCAAGAACTGCGCCACTGAAGATGCTACCCCCGCTATGCCTACGCAAGGGTCGAGGACTGTGACGCATATGCGCCGGCAAAATTGTGACTGCGATTACGGTTACCAGATCCTAGATTCAGACACGACCGTCGCCAGATGGTCGCTACAAGAATCGCCGTGGCAGTGGAAGGGGAGAGAAGGCGGCAGGCTGGAGGCTGCTGTTTGCCTCCTAAACGGACAGTTCGCTGTGCGGAACTTCGTCGGTACGAGGAACGTTGGTCCTAGACTTGTTGCAGGAGAATCGTGGGAACGAGAAATGTCGCCATGACAGTTGTCGAATTCATGCGGCGTGGCACGGAAAGGTGAGGCGTAGCTGTCAGTCTGCAGTTCCGATCGATGCTTGAAAAACGCAAACTCGTAGCTAGCACGAGTCAAGCAACCTAGTAGCCCTTCAACAAAGACCGGCAAGGGGTATCTGACGAAGAACGAGTCAATTGGGATTGGTGGTGAATCGCTGATCAGAATGCGCACACGAAGCAGAGTGCGGAGCGAGGCCTAACCGTTTGACAATCCACGAAAGGCAGACGATTCACGAAAGGATATCGCAATCGTAGCCATCGATCCACGAGAGGTAATTAGACTATCGTAGCCGTCGATCCATGAAAGATACGCGCACTATCATCGTAGCCGCCGATCCATCAAAGGTAAGCGCACTATCGTAGCCGTCGATCCACAAAAGGTAAATAGCCGTCAATCTACGATGGCTCAACTCGCAGCTTGAGCGACGCTTCTCTCGAATAGAACGACAACCGCCACCTGAGCCACCTCGGCTCCAAGGCACACTGAACGCGTAGCAAAGCACCTCCCGACACGACCGATACGAACATTGAGCAGGCGCTTTTCTTGAAACGACTTGAGCTCGCGGTTGAGGATCTCGGCGTCCTGAAACGGCGTGCCGAACTCGCCGGCGCCGAAGGTGCCGCGGAAGACGAGGAAGGTGATGAAGCCGCAGACGAGCGTCATCTTGAAGTTGTACGCCACCTTGCGGAAGCTCTTCATGCGCGGATGGTTCCACAGCCATGCCAGCGAGCACGACAGCCAGTCGCAGCACAGAGACCGCTCGGGCTTCATCGTGGCGAGTTAAAATGCGAATGGAATCCGGCGTTTGGATGTGGATCGACTTGCTAGACTAGGATAATTGTCGGAAAGGCTGAGACATCTCTAAAGACACATCGAGGGGGGGGGGGAAGATGGCACTAGTGCAGCCGTGCGACGATGGTCGAGCTCGGCTCGTCACGTTGCGTTACAATTATCGAAATAATCTTCCTATCACTAAGAAACTGTTGAACGGGAAGACGCTGTACCTACCGCACGAGCCGTCTTCTCACAGAGGCTGGTACTACCTTGTCCTCGGCAACACAAGCTAGGAACTTTAGAGAGGCTGAGGCTTGAGGAATCGAGAGTGAGGCATGAGCGCCTGCCTTCCCTTTCTTGCCGTGCCTCGGGGTCAGATTTACGCGGAATGGGTTCTCATGGTCCCTCGGGCTCATCCCAGCAGGTGAACCGCTGCTCCTGCCCGCCCCCGACAGCCAATGTCCCTCGGCCCATCTCATACCCCAAAACCGAAGGACCTGGTATGGAGGCCGAAGCTCCGCGGAATTTGGCATTCGGGGACCACACCAGGCTGTGGGAAGTGCGCGCATTGCGCGAGAAGAGCAGGTGCGGGCGGAGAATGATACCAGCAGCGGACAACCGGTTGCACGCGCGCAAGGGAGGCGTACACCAACACCCGCGTGGAGCTGCGCGGTCGACTGCGCCGAACCTTGGCCCACCAATCCCCGCGTGGCGCGTGCTGGCCTCGGGTTTGGAGCACAGTGCGGGGCGCTGGTCAAGTAGGCCCGCACATAGGCACTTCCCGCGCGAATTTGGGCGCCTTGGGAATGCTCAGCTGGCTGCACGGCTCTGAGCACTCTGTATAGCGCCCCGGTTCACAGTCTCGGACATTCGATGCTTTACACGTGGCAATATGAACGGTGAGCCGTGAGCCTGGTGCGGATTCACTGAACTGGCCCCACAACAAGTTATAACATCTCGTCGATGAGCACAAGATTTCGAGCTCCAAACAACACATACTCCTACGTCAACTCATTTACATTCTCATGTAGTGAGGTACTATTATTGCTTGTGGTTTTTGAACACATGACATACTCATAGCGCGTGCTCCATTATCAACGCTTGCACTGTGGAAAATCATTCATGATTGAATCCACCTAGAGTCTCCGCTTTCACTTAGCAAGGGAATGTGCATCTTTCACAAATGAACCTGGTATATATACAAGAGTGCATAGCATTCCCTCAAAACAGCCAGGCTGTGCTCCAACCGAAGAAGTGCAAGACGGTACTGCAACCATTGCCCAGTGTCCACATGTCCTGCAACCTCGAAGACCCCTGACGGGCTTTTCTGGCACACAGGTTTCGTCATCCTGAACAGTGTCAGCCTCGCTATGTTCGATAAAAGAACGTGACAGCATCGCAAAGGGTGTGCCGCGGAGCCCTTGAAAATTGCGCGAACCTCGAGTCCCTCGCTTGCACGAACCTCCTCAAGAATTTGCTTATCGTGAGGGCGTGTCGTTAGTGCTCAACTTTCACACGGTTCAGTGCGTTTTCAAACGTGAAATACAGAATAATTTGACGCGGTTAGAAATGGAAGAGGAAACATGAACACTCATGAAAGGGGATTTTAGCTCTTCCAGTCAACTCAGCGGGAAAACTTTCCCTTCTGCCGTCAAGCTGACATGGTGCATTTCCATAAGTTCAAAACCTACCGAGGCAGTCGAGCCTCGTCGTAAGGTACATTCATCGGGTTTACCCAACCTGAAATGGCATGTGAGTCCCTAAGGGTTTGATTTGTTTTTCCCTGGGCAGCCAGATCTTATTTTACATACCAGATCTAGCCCGAAAAAAAAATCGTTTCGCCTTTGGTTGGTGGAATTGACAGGTTGGAGAGGCTCGGTTGCTTCGAACCTCTAAGAAAGCTCCAAATCAGAGATCATACCTGTTGACGGCAAAAGAAAATGCTTGCCCCACTAATTTGACTGCAGGAGCAACTGGCCCCTCATGACGTGCCGCACTCTCGTCCCCTCATGTGGAGCAGGAAAAAGTGCTGAAACCAGCCAGGTTCCTTGCTCCTAGTCTTCTACAGACTGAAGTACACTGTCAGATAGTATGATCGACTGCTAGCGGCGAAGATGGAGGCGGAGTGGGATTCGGACGGCGAGGGCAAGCGATGGAGTCTAGGCCCGGCGTTCGACGACGCGGGCCAGCTGTCGGACGACGATCTTCTTACTGACCTTGAAAGTAGTACCGCCGTTAGAGACGAGAATGTTATTACTGGCCTCGCTGGTGGTACCGCCGTCAGAGACGACGACCTTCTGACTGACCTCGAGTCCGCCATCAACGGCGACTTCGCTAATGATGTCACCGGTAGAATCGAGGCCCAAGCTATCGATGGAGCCGGTAGCAGCGGCGTGCGGGTCAACCGCACGTTAGACATCGAAGGCGCTTCAAACCTTAGCAGCGCGTTAGGGCCTAACGGCGCGTTGGGCTGTAGTAACGACAAAACTGAAACTCCTGATCGACCAGCTGGTAACGCGGGAGGCATCGACGGCGGAGCTGCCAGCCTAAGCGCAGGGAACGGGGGAACACAGGCGCAGCGGAACTTCGCGGGAGCCAGCGGGCGGGGTGAGGCGGGGGAACAGGTCGGCGCAGAGCACACGCGCGGAACGACAGATGTGGCGCCAGTGGCGGCTGAACTGGCGGCGCAAAGGGAGGAGCGGATTGCAGAGTCGACTGAGCAGGCAGTAGGATCAGGCGCTTATGAATCAGCGGCGGACGGGGCGGAGGCGCGCGCAGGCGCAGGCGGGGACGCGGGGTCGGGCCGCGCAGCAGCAGAGGAGCCGGCGGGACGAGGATTGGGAAGCGGAATTAGGGAAAGGGAAGGCACGGGACGCGCAGAGAACGCGGGCGACGGCGGTAACGCAGCGGGTGTAGACGAGGGCAGGGGAGGCCAAGGGATGGGTGGCAGCGAGGTGAGCAGCGCGGCAGGCGGGTCGGGGGAGCGGCGGATGAGCTTGAAGGAGACCGGGCGGAGCCGCGTGCGGACGGATGCAGGTGAGGCCGTGGAGGCGGCGGCAGTAGAGGCAGCGGCAGGCGGTGGTGCTAGAGCCAGTGGTGGCGATGCAGCCAACGGGAGTGGTATTGCTGGTAATAAACTGGGCGACAAGGGGAGAGCAGCGGTTGGAAGGGCACAGGTGGGGAGTGGGGCAGGGGCGCGGGCACAGACAGGCGAGGGGGGGGAGCGGGGGTAGGGGGAGGGGCAGCGGGGGGGTCGGGGCGAAAGCCAGTCTGGCAGCAGAGCCCGCGCCCTTCTGCTGCCTTCGCCTCCCCCACACGCGCAGGTCCTGGCAGCAGGGGGGCAGCAGCAGGGGGAGGGGGAAGGGGAGGGGGAGGAGGGCGAGAGGAAGGGGCGAGAGGGGGTCAGGGGGTGGTTGGGCGGTCTCCTTCAGAGGAGAGGAGGAGGGCGAGCACGGGCAGTCCGGGCAGCAGAGGGAGGTCAGACAGCCCTGCCAGCAGGGGCAGCCCGGGCAGCTTGGGCAGTGCGAAAAGAGCGGATTGGGCGAGCGGGATTGGCCCACTGACCAGCAGTTTCAGCCCGGAGTTAGCGGGCAGGAAGGCAGCGGGAGGGGGGCTGGGAGAAATGGGGTCTTTGTCTTTGGACCGCCACAGCATAGCCGTGACTGGCAGGTGGAGTGACCCCGGGTGGGCGGACATCAGGGGAAGGGCGGGGGCGCAGGGGGGAGTGCAGGGGGGAGCGCAATGGGGAGGATTAGGGGGAGCGCGAGGGAGGGCGATTGGTGTGGGGCTGGGCGGGGAGAGAGCAGGTAGTGCAGGGAAGGGGAGTGGGCGGGCGGCGAGTCCGAGTGCCAGGAGGGACGCTGCAGCGGGGGCAGCAGGAGGGAAGGCAGGGGGGAGAGCAGAGGGGGCGGGTGCTGCAGGAGGGAGTGGTGCTGCAGGGAGGGCGGGGGGCAGTCCGTTGAGACGAAACGGCGCAGGGGGAAGGGCAGACGAGAGAGCAGGAGGAGGGGGCGGTGGACGAATAAGTCCCAGTCGCTCGGCCTCAACAGCAGCGTCAGCAGCAGCGGCAGCAGCAGCGAAAGCAACCAATGCAAGTATGGGTGCCAATGCAAGTGCCAGTGCGAGTGCGAGTGCTCGCAGGCGCATTGCCTTTGGCAGCAGTGTGAGCTTCAACGCCGCTGCCTCTTCCTCCTCCTCGCCCCCTTTCTCCTCCGCCGCTGCCCCCACAGCTGCCTCTCTTGCCAGGCGCGCTGCCAACCTGCGCTCCCACCTTGCCTCTCTCACCTCCTCGCCCACTTTCACAGTACCATCTACTGCCACTGCCACCGGCCGTGCTGCTGCTGCTGCTGCTGTTGCCACACGTGGTAGCATGGGTTCAGGGGGCAGAAGTGCCTCTGCCTCTCACTCTGCCTCCGCCTCTCCGTCCGCGCCTGCCTCTGCATCCCCCTCTGTGTCCAGCAGTCCTGTCGTTGCTCCAACACCCGCTTCCTCTGTGCCCTCACTTCCTGCTGGCTTCTTACCCGGCAGAAAGGAGGGCATGAGGGGCAATTCCCCAGCTGTCAACAGTGCTTCTTTCTCCTCTGTTCCCTCCCATGATGTGGTCGCTACTGCTACCGTCCCTGCTGCTGCTGCTGCTGCTGCTGCTGCCACTGCTGCTGCAGCTGCTGTTGAGGATGGTGGCTCAGCGGGTGCCACTGCGACTGCTGTACACGAGGGGGAAAGCGTTGCGTTGGAGGAGGGGAGCGACGTGGGCAGGGGCGTGGAAGAAGAGGAGGAGGAAAGAGAGGAAGAAAGAGAGGAGGGAAGAGGGGAGGAGGGAAGAGAGGAAGAAAGAGAGGAGGGAAGAGAAGAGGAGGGAAGAGAGGAGGAGGAAAGAGAGGAGGTGGGAAGAGGGGAGGAGGAAAGAGAAGAGGAGGAAAGAGAGGAGGAGGAAAGAGAGGAGGAGGAAAGGGAGGAGGAGGAAGGGATAGTGTTAGAGGAAATAAGAGAGGAGGAAGGCACAGATGAAAGCGTGCCAGAGACAGCAGAGGTCCCAACGAAAGCAGCAGCAGCAGACCGGGCTTCAATACCGTGCCCGCGCAGCCCTCTGGCAGAAGGTGCGGCTGCACCAGATGCTCTGCACTCATCGCCAGCAATGCTGCCACCACCACCGCCATCCCCACCAGCAGAAGAGGCCGGCGCTGCAATACCCCCCTCGCACAGCCCGACAGCTGCAGCTGCTGTTGCACCAGGTGTGACGTCATTGCCAGAAATACCATCACCATCACAAATGCCAGCACAAACACCAGCGGCAGCAGCAGCGTCATTACTATCACCCTCGCGACGAACAGCAGGAGCAGCAGCAGGAGCAGCAGCAGGAGGAGCCACAGGTGCACTTCCAATGCTATCGCCACCAACAGCAGCGGCAGCAGCAGCGTCATTGCGATCACCCACGGCAGGAGCTGCAGGAGGAGGAGGAGGAGCAACAGCGGCATCGTCACCAGCATTGTCAGCAGGAGGAGGGGGAGGCAGGCCACGGCTGTCGTCTAGAGAGCTGCGAGTGATGCCGGGGCCCGATGTGCGCGGCACAGATGACACGGTGAGTGGCACAGATGACACGGTGAGTGGCACAGATGACACGGTGAGTGACACAGATGACACGGTGAGTGACACAGATGTCACGGTGGGCGGCACAGATGACACGGTGGACCATCAACCAGCGGTCAGAAGCCTCAACGCGAATAGACTTTCCATGGCTCCCTTGAGTTGAACCCCCCCTCTTCTTTCCTCTCCATCCCCCCACTCCCCTCTCCTTTCCATCCCCCCACGCCCCTCTCCTTTCCATCTCCCCACTCCCCTCTCCTTTCCATCCCCCCACGCCCCTCTCCTTTCCATCCCCCCACTCCCCTCTCCTTTCCACCCCCCCACGCCCCTCTCGCCAGCGCGCGGACCTGCGTTCGCAGCGCATCAGAAGCCTCATGGCCGACACGCTGCACCTGCCGCCTGCGGCTCAGTTTGTGTATCTGAGGGGCAACCAGCTGGCAGCATTGGACGGGATTGAGCGAGTGAAGAGAGTCAAGGCGAGTGGAAGACGATATAGCATACACCATACACCATGCACCATACACCATACACCATGCACCATACACCATACACCATGCACCATACACCATGCACCATACACCATACACCATACACCATGCACCATACACCATGCACCATACACCATACACCATACACCATGCACCATACACCATGCACCATACACCATACAACATACACCATGCACCATACAGCATGCACCATGCACCATACAACATACACCATGCACCATACAGCATGCACCATGCACCATACAGCATACAGCATACAGCATACACCATACACCATACAACATACATCACACACCATGCACCATGCACCATGCACCACACACCCGTGCATGCAGCCTGCTTTAGCCCTTTGAGTCCACCCAAAGGCGCCCTGAATGCAGTGCTGGCGAGTTGCCCCACCAGCACCTGCCCCCCCCTCAGCCATGGTGCCCCCATCACCTTTTCCCCGCAGGTGCTGATGTCAGCTAAAACCAGCTGGCCGAAGCATCACTGCCACAAGCAGTCCCCACCTGGCAAGAGTGCCCTACCACCTCTCTCCACCCCCCGTCACCGCTTCAGGTGCTGGACGTGAGCTACAACCAGCTGGGCGACGCGTCACTGGCACCGCTGGCTGCTTGCACCGCACTGCAGGTTAGATGCTAATGGGTTTGCCTCCAATCCAAGGCCCGTTGAAGCGAGTGCGAGTGCTGATGTTTAACACTGTGCCGAAAGGTGGCTACAGCTGTAACCCCTTTGGGGCGGCAGCAGCGTGGAAGAACAGGGGTGAGGGGGGGGCAGGCCAGGCCAGAACGTTGAGGGGCGCACGCGCATGGCAGTCCTGTGTTCTGTATGCATGTGTTCTGTATGCCTGTGTTCTGTATGCCTGTGTTCTGTATGCATGTGTTCTGTATGCCTGTGTTCTGTATGCCTGTGTTCTGTATGCCTGTGTTCTGTATGCCTGTGTTCTGTATGCCTGTGTTCTGTATGCCTGTGTTCTGTATGCCTGTGCTCTGTATGCCTGTGTTCTGTATGCCTGTGCTCTGTATGCCTGTGTTCTGTATGCCTGTGTTCTGTATGCCTGTGTTCTGTATGCCTGTGCTCTGTATGCCTGTGTTCTGTATGCCTGTGCTCTGTATGCCTGTGTTCTGTATGCCTGTGTTCTGTATGCCTGTGTTCTGTATGCCTGTGTTCTGTATGCCTGTGTTCTGTATGCCTGTGCTCTGTATGCCTGTGTTCTGTATGCCTGTGTTCTGTATGCCTGTGTTCTGTATGCCTGTGTTCTGTATGCCTGTGTTCTGTATGCCTGTGTTCTGTATGCCTGTGTTCTGTATGCCTGTGTTCTGTATGCCTGTGTTCTGTATGCCTGTGCTCTGTATGCCTGTGTTCTGTATGCCTGTGCTCTGTATGCCTGTGTTCTGTATGCCTGTGTTCTGTATGCCTGTGTTCTGTATGCCTGTGTTCTGTATGCCTGTGCTCTGTATGCCTGTGTTCTGTATGCCTGTGTTCTGTATGCCTGTGTTCTGTATGCCTGTGTTCTGTATGCCTGTGTTCTGTATGCCTGTGTTCTGTATGCCTGTGTTCTGTATGCCTGTGTTCTGTATGCCTGTGTTCTGTATGCCTGTGTTTCTGTATGCATGTGTTCTGTATGCCTGTGTTCTGTATGCCTGTGCTCTGTATGCCTGTGTTCTGTATGCCTGTGCTCTGTATGCCTGTGTTCTGTATGCCTGTGTTCTGTATGCCTGTGTTCTGTATGCCTGTGTTCTGTATGCCTGTGCTCTGTATGCCTGTGTTCTGTATGCCTGTGTTCTGTATGCCTGTGTTCTGTATGCCTGTGTTCTGTATGCCTGTGTTCTGTATGCCTGTGCTCTGTATGCCTGTGTTCTGTATGCCTGTGTTCTGTATGCCTGTGTTCTGTATGCCTGTGTGCTGTATGCATGTGTGCTGTATGCATGTGTGCTGTATGCATGTGTGCTGTATGCATGTGTGCTGTATGCATGTGTGCTGTATGCATGTGTGCTGCTGTTTCCTTCCTCCATGCACTACCTGTGTGCCCTTGCTACCTGCAGCCTGTTGCCCATTCTTATGCCCCTCACCCCATGATCATGTGCCGACGCCCATTCTCATCCCCACCCTCCCACGCTGCTCCCTGTGCTTCCTGTGCTCCCTGTGCTCCCTGTGCTTCCTGTGCTCCCTGTGCTTCCTGTGCTCCCTGTGCTCCCTGTGCTCCCTGTGCTCCCTGTGCTCCCTGTGCTCCCTGTGTGCCCTGTGCGCCCCACGGCGCCCCCCTAAACCCACCATGCAGCAACTCTTCCTGGCGGGCAACCGCCTCTCCTCCCTTGCCTCGCTGCCACGACTGCCCTCCCTCGAGGCATGCCGTCTGTTGTACCCCTTACTTTGCCATCTGCGTCGCCCTTGTTTCGGCCACTGCCACCGTAGTTCCACGCCCTGCCGTCGCCTCCTAGTCTCTGCCGTCGCCTCCTAGTCTCTGCACCTTCCCCAACCCCGTACCGCCATGCGTCAGAACTCACCCTGACTTGCGTTTTGCTTCCCCTTTCCCCCCTCACCCTCAGTTGCTCTCCCTCTCTGCGTTGCCCGTCCCACCCTTTCCCCCTCCTGCCATGACTCTCCCCCTCCTGCCATGACTCTCCCCCCTCCTGCCATGACTCTCCCCCCTCCTGCCATGACTCTCCCCCCTCCTGCCATGACTCTCCCCCCTCCTGCCATGACTCTCCCCCCTCCTGCCATGACTCTCCCCCCTCCTGCCATGACTCTCCCCCCTCCTGCCATGACTCTCCCCCCTCCTGCCATGACTCTCCCCCCTCCTGCCATGACTCTCCCCCCTCCTGCCATGACTCTCCCCCCTCCTGCCATGACTCTCCCCCCTCCTGCCATGACTCTCCCCCCTCCTGCCATGACTCTCCCCCCTCCTGCCATGACTCTCCCCCCTCCTGCCATGACTCTCCCCCCTCCTGCCATGACTCCCCCCACGTGTGTGCGCCTCAGTTCCTGTCCGTGTCTCAGAACGCCCTCTGCCTCCTTGACATGCCCTCGCAGCCCAGACTCAAGGTAGCAGACTCAGTGAGGTCGCATGCCTCACTGTGCATGTCGCGTGCCTCACTGTGCATGTCGCATGCCTCACTGTGCATGTCGCATGCCTCACTGTGCATGTCGCATGCCTCACTGTGCATGTCGCATGCCTCACTGTGCATGTCGCATGCCTCACTGTGCATGTTGCATGCCCCACTGTGCATGTCGCATGCCTCACTGTGCATGTCGCATGCCTCACTGTGCATGTCGCATGCCCCACTGTGCATGTCGCATGCCTCACTGTGCATGTTGCATGCCCCACTGTGCATGTCGCATGCCTCACTGTGCATGTCGCATGCCTCACTGTGCATGTCGCATGCCCCACTGTGCATGTCGCATGCCTCACTGTGCATGTCGGATGCCTCACTGTGCATGTCGCATGCCTCACTGTGCATGTCGCATGCCTCACTGTGCATGTCGCATGCCTCACTGTGCATATCGCGTGCCTCACTGTGCATGTCGCATGCCTCACTGTGCATGTCGCATGCCTCACTGTGCATGTCGCATGCCTCACTGTGCATGTTGCATGCCTCACTGTGCATGTCGCATGCCTCACTGTGCATGTCGCATGCCTCACTGTGCATGTCGGATGCCTCACTGTGCATGTCGCATGCCTCGCCACGCCATGCAACGCAGCTCTTCCCAATGTCTACTGCTCCTTTGCTCCCCTTTCTCGTGCTTCTCTCTTTCTCTCTCTCCCTCTCTACCCACACGCCCCTCCGTGCTAATCCACGCCCATCCACGCCCCTCCGAGCCCCTCCGAGCCCCCCGTGCCCCTCCGAGCCCCTCCGTGCCCCTCCGTGCCCCTCGGTGCCCCTCGGTGCCCCCACCAGGTGCTCACAGCCAGCAGCAACAGCGTCGCCTCCTTTGAAGGCTTTCCTCTCCTCCCTGCTCTAGAGGTCCGTACCATGCCTTGCCATTTCCCATTCCCCTTGTCCTCTATGCCCTGTGCCCTGTGCCCTGTGCCCTGTGCCCTGTGCCCTGTGCCCTGTGCCCTGTGCCCTGTGCCCTGTGCCCTGTGCCCTGTGCCCTGTGCCCTTGCCCTGTGCCCTGTGCCCTGTGCCCTGTGCCCTGTGCCCTGTGCCCTGTGCCCTGTGCCCTGTGCCCTGTGCCCTGTGCCCTGTGCCCTGTGCCCTGTGCCCTGTGCCCTGTGCCCTGTGCCCTGTGCCCTGTGCCCTGTGCCCTGTGCCCTGTGCCTGTGCCCTGTGCCCTGTGCCCTGTGCCCTGTGCCCTGTGCCCTGTGCCCTGTGCCCTGTGCCCTGTGCCCTGTGCCCTGTGCCCTGTGCCCTGTGCCCTGTGCCCTGTGCCCTGTGCCCTGTGCCCTGTGCCCTGTGCCCTGTGCCCTGTGCCCTGTTGCCCTGTGCCCTGTGCCCTGTGCCCTGTGCCCTGTGCCCTGTGCCCTGTGCCCTGTGCCCTGTGCCCTGTGCCCTGTGCCCTGTGCCCTGTGCCCTGTGCCCTGTGCCCTGTGCCCTGTGCCCTGTGCCCTGTGCCCTGTGCCCTGTGCCCTGTGCCCTGTGCCCTGTGCCCTGTGCCGCAGTGTTGCCTTGTTGCCTTGTACTCCTCTCTCTGCCTCAGCCCCGTTCCCCTACGTTTCTCCCCCCACAACTGCTCCCCATCCTCTTTGTCCTCGGGACTACAGCTCCACATATGGCCTCTGCTTCTGGCTCTCAAGTCACAAGTCACTCTCCGCTCCTCATTTCCTCACCACACCACAACCCCACAGTAGTCTCCCCTGCGTCTGTCTTTCACGTCACAAGTCTTCCCCTGCTTCTCGCTGCTTCTCTATGCTTGTGTCCCCTCTCCCAGCACCTGCGTCTGGACGACAACCCCATAGAGGAAGCCCCTGCGCCTCACTTCGCTGCCATCCTGCTGGCGGCCTCCTCGCTGCTCTCCTTCAACGCCTCAGGTGCGCTCTTTGCTCCCCTTGTCATTCCCAGGTGCTGATTGTCTCCTTTCCCCTTTACTTGGCCCGATTGCTTATCCGTCTCAATCGTGTGTGGAACTGACTTGTGCTCCCGTGCGTGCATGTGTGATGCGTGTGCGTGCATGGGTGCGTGTGTGTGTGCTTGTGTGTGGGAGACGTTTGTGCGCATGTGTGTGTGCACGTGTACGTGTGCGCGTGGGTGAGTGTGTGCGTGCATGCACATGTCTCCTTGCAGCCATAAGTGAGGAGGAGCGTGGGGCAGTGGAGGAGGCGGGGGGTGGGCATGGAACCATGTGTGTGCGCATGGGGTGGCTGCCAGCTTCCGCTTCTATTGGTGACATCCCAGGTGTGCATGCACACATGGGCAGATACAATCAATCGCCATAACCATTCCCCATTCACCACCCAGAGTGGTGTTCAAGTGTTTTGCCGAAAAGTTGACTGGTTGGCGAAATTCCGCATGCGCAAGTTCTCGTTGCTGGTGTGCATAAAAATTGACGCACCGGCAATCCAACCAGTCAACGAACAGCCCCTACCTAACCCAATCCAACCCCCCTCGACATTTGTTTCCCCATCCCCCCTCGACATTTGTTTCCCCATCCCCCCTCGACGAATGTCAGTCGCTAACCCAACTCCAGCGGCAACTATGTCTAGACTAGGTTGCGTCCTAGGACTTGGAGGAGCGTGCCGACGACCAGCGCGATGAATCTAGTGGCGACTTGGATTAAGCGATGAACCAGCGGTAGATCTGTGCGGAGAGTAGCCAGCCATATTCTAGTCCCGAACAGGCTACGCGGAGTTGAAGATCGCATTTTCTTGGGTTTTTTTTTTGCCCGGAAAAAATCTAGGCTTGCCCGGCGACGTACACGTGACATACGCGTAACATAACGTACGCGTAATGTAACATACACGTAAAGTTACGCGTACTTCACATGTTGGATGGGCTTGGATTGGATGGTGGTTTGCCACCACCTTCAGTGGTTATCCACTGGTTTGCCACCACCCTGAGTGGTTTTCCACTGGTTTGCCACCACCCTGAGTGGGTTTCCACTGGTTTGCCACCACCCTGAGTGGGTTTCCACTGGTTTGCCACCACCCTGAGTGGGTTTCCACTGGTTTGCCACCACCCTGAGTGGGTTTCCACTGGTTTGCCACCACCCTGAGTGGGTTTCCACTGGTTTGCCACCACCCTGAGTGGGTTTCCACTGGTTTGCCACCACCCTGAGTGGGTTTCCACTGGTTTGCCACCACCCTGAGTGGGTTTCCACTGGTTTGCCACCACCCTGAGTGGGTTTCCACTGGTTTGCCACCACCCTGAGTGGGTTTCCACTGGTTTGCCACCACCCTGAGTGGGTTTCCACTGGTTTGCCACCACCCTGAGTGGGTTTCCACTGGTTTGCCACCACCCTGAGTGGGTTTCCACTGGTTTGCCACCACCCTGAGTGGGTTTCCACTGGTTTGCCACCACCCTGAGTGGGTTTCCACTGGTTTGCCACCACCCTGAGTGGGTTTCCACTGGTTTGCCACCACCCTGAGTGGGTTTCCACTGGTTTGCCACCACCCTGAGTGGGTTTCCACTGGTTTGCCACCACCCTGAGTGGGTTTCCACTGGTTTGCCACCACCCTGAGTGGGTTTCCACTGGTTTGCCACCACCCTGAGTGGGTTTCCACTGGTTTGCCACCACCCTGAGTGGGTTTCCACTGGTTTGCCACCACCCTGAGTGGGTTTCCACTGGTTTGCCACCACCCTGAGTGGGTTTCCACTGGTTTGCCACCACCCTGAGTGGGTTTCCACTGGTTTGCCACCACCCTGAGTGGGTTTCCACTGGTTTGCCACCACCCTGAGTGGGTTTCCACTGGTTTGCCACCACCCTGAGTGGGTTTCCACTTTCCCACCTGAGTGTTTCCACTGGTTTGCCACCACCCTGAGTGGGTTTCCACTGGTTTGCCACCACCCTGAGTGGGTTTCCACTGGTTTGCCACCACCCTGAGTGGGTTTCCACTGGTTTGCCACCACCCTGAGTGGGTTTCCACTGGTTTGCCACCACCCTGAGTGGGTTTCCACTGGTTGCACCACCCTGGTTTGCCACCACCCTGAGTGGGTTTCCACTGGTTTGCCACCACCCTGAGTGGGTTTCCACTGGTTTGCCACCACCCTGAGTGGGTTTCCACTGGTTTGCCACCACCCTGAGTGGGTTTCCACTGGTTTGCCACCACCCTGAGTGGGTTTCCACTGGTTTGCCACCACCCTGAGTGGGTTTCCACTGGTTTGCCACCACCCTGAGTGGGTTTCCACTGGTTTGCCACCACCCTGAGTGGGTTTCCACTGGTTTGCCACCACCCTGAGTGGGTTTCCACTGGTTTGCCACCACCCTGAGTGGGTTTCCACTGGTTTGCCACCACCCTGAGTGGGTTTCCACTGGTTTGCCACCACCCTGAGTGGGTTTCCACTGGTTTGCCACCACCCTGAGTGGGTTTCCACTGGTTTGCCACCACCCTGAGTGGGTTTCCACTGGTTTGCCACCACCCTGAGTGGGTTTCCACTGGTTTGCCACCACCCTGAGTGGGTTTCCACTGGTTTGCCACCACCCTGAGTGGGTTTCCACTGGTTTGCCACCACCCTGAGTGGGTTTCCACTGGTTTGCCACCACCCTGAGTGGGTTTCCACTGGTTTGCCACCACCCTGAGTGGGTTTCCACTGGTTTGCCACCACCCTGAGTGGGTTTCCACTGGTTTGCCACCACCCTGAGTGGGTTTCCACTGGTTTGCCACCACCCTGAGTGGGTTTCCACTGGTTTTGCCACCACCCTGAGTGGGTTTCCACTGGTTTGCCACCACCCTGAGTGGGTTTCCACTGAGTTCCGCCTCTCCCTCCAACCCTGCAAAACCCCCTCTCTCTACCTCCCCTCCAGCCTCCCTCGTCTCCTTCCTCGCTGCGTCGTGGGCGCCCTTCCTCCCCACGGGCTACGCCCTCGCCTCGCTGCTGCTGGACCGCCCCATTGAGGACTGCCCCTGCCACTGCCGCCTGCTGCTCCGGCGCAACAGTGGCGGTGGGCAGCAGGGGGAGGATTGTGAGGATGGGGAAGAAGGGGAGGGAGACTGGGAGAGGGAGCGGGAGGGAGGGGAGGGGGAGGCGGAGGGAGAGGGAGCATTGGAGGCATGGCCATCGGGAGTGGTGGTGCGGTATGAGTGGCTGCGGCGGGGCAAAGGGGCGACTGAGTTCAGCGCGATCGATGATGCAGAGGGGGAGGTGAGGGTGTGGAGGGGGTTATATGCTGGACGCCCACCCTCTCTGCCGTGCATGCTCGTATCGCCCCCTCTCTGCCGTGCTTGCTCGTATCGCCCCCTCTCTGCCGTGCATGCTCGTATCGCCCCCTCTCTGCCGTGCTTGCTCGTATCGCCCCCTCTCTGCCGTGCTTGCTCGTTTCGCCCCCTCTCTGCCGTGCTTGCTTGTATCGCCCCCTCTCTGCCGTGTATGCTCGTATCGCGGTGCAACTGCCACCTTCCCCCTCCCTACCATCACGGCCCGTACCAAAGCCCAACACCATCAGGTGTACACGCGCACCTACTCTGGCGTGCACGTGTGTCTTGCTGCCTCACACCTTCCCTCCCCTCCCTGTGCTGCCTCATCCCCTCCCTCTCACCCCCACACCATCAGCTGTACACACCCACCTACTCGGACGTGCATGCGTGCCTGGCGGTGCGCTGCACCCCGCTGCTCCATGGCCGCCCCTGCACACCCCTCCTGCTCACCACGACGCCAGTCGCCCCCGGTATGCTCTCACTATCATTGGGAGGTCCTGTTGGGTCAGCCTGGGCTCTCTCTCCTTTCACCAGTCCACCCCCCCTGGACGCCCCTCCTCCTCTCACCAGTCACCAGTCCATCCCCCAGTCGCCCCTGGTGCGATTTTCATTCCGTTAAGGAGGCTCTGTTGAGTCGGGGTGCGCTCTCTCTCTCTCACAAGTCCATCCCCCCCGCACGTTTTCGTTCGCTCCCTGCTTCCTCACTGCACGCATCCGTTTGTGCGTGCATGCTGGCATGCTGCCATGCTGCCATGCACCCATGCTGGCATGCATCCATGCTGGCATGCACCCATGCTGGCATGCACCCATGCTGGCATGCACCCATGCAGGTCCCGGCATCCCGCGAGTGCAGCACGTGTCGCTGGGAGGGGAGGCGGTGGAGGGGGGTGTGCTGACCGCCATGGTGGAGGTGGGGTGGAGCTCGGGCGAACCGGGGCCCTGCCAGTACAGGTATGGCTTGGGTGTGTGTGGAGGTCGGGGGAAACAGGGGCCGTGCTGGTACAGGTATGCCTGTCCACGATTCTCACCTTGTGACTTGCGTTCTAGGTACAAGTTCCCCACCCCTTGCACGACACGACTTGTCTTCTCCTTGTTTCGGCCCTTCACCCTTCCATCTCCCTTCCATCACCCTTCCATCTCCCCCACCCCTCGGCTGGCGTGGCCTGTCTTCTACCCTCACCCTCTCGCCCTCCCTCGTCACCTCCCCTCCCCTCTTGTCAGCTGGAGTCGCCTGGCCCCTTCTCACTCACAGGGAGCAGCAGCATGGGAGGAGGTGCAGAGTGGGGGGGCGGAGTACCCCCTCTCGCTGCACGACGTGGGGTGTGTGCTGCGCCTCTCCTTCACCCCCGTGTCTGCCAGAGGGGTCAGGGGGGAGCCCGCCTCGGTCACTTCTCTGCCCATCGCTGCTGGTGAGTGGGGCTGGTGAGAGTGGCTGGTGAGAGTGGCTGGTGAGAGTGGCTGGTGAGTGGGGCTGGTGAGAGTGGCTGGTGAGTGGGGCTGGTGAGAGTGGTTGCCCATTTTGGTTGGGGAAAGTGGTTGGCGCGGGTTACTGATAGTGGCAAATCACTCCGTGCTTTCCCCCTTCTCCCCCCAGCCCCCCCCAGGTGCTGCAGGTGGCGGTGGAGGGGGAGGCGCTGCTGGGGGGGTGCTGCGCGCCAGAGGCACGTACTTTGGGGGGGCGGAGGGGAGCAGCGTGCTGCAATGGTTCCGGGAGGAAGGGGAGGCGGGGGAGGAAGGCGCAGGGGAGGGGGAGGAGGGGAGGGCGAAAGAGGGGAAGGGGAAGAGAATGGGGCAGGAATCGGAGGCGGGGATGCTGTGGTTGGTGCTGGTGGCAGAGGCCATGTGAGGTGAGTGTGATGCATGTGGGTGGTGAGGAATTTGAGTGATGTGACATGAGTTACCCCCTCTGCCCCTTGTTTGTCCACCCGTCGTCCCTCACCACGCTACTTCCTCGGCCTTTCCCCCGCTATCCCCATCCCCGCTCAGAATAGCACTGGTGTACGGTTTAGATTTTAAGGTTTAGGGACAGCACTGCACGCTGTGCTAACTTCCATCCTGTTTTCCAACCCCCCCCTCAGGCTGGTTCCAGTGGGCGAGGGCCCGCAGTACGAGGCACAGGCGGGCGATGTGGGGCGGTGCCTGCTGCTGCGATACACGCCAGTCGCCTCCTCAGGTGAGCAGTGCCCCTAGCTTAACTTACTCCCCTGGTCGCCTCCTCAGGAAAGCTCTTTTGGTGATTTCCTATTCAGGCGAAAATTAGAACAGCTGGCTGCTTGGTATTCCGTTTCCCTCGCCCCATCGTGTTTCCCTCGCCCATCTTATTCTGCACCCATCTCACCTCTCATCACCCCGTCGTCTCTCATCCTCCCCATTGCCGCTTCACCTCTCATCCTCATTGCCCGTCGGCGGAGCAGGGCTGATAGGAGAGCCCGTGACGGCGCGCTCGCCCATCATCTGCTTGCGTACGTGCCCTGCCATATCAGCCACCTCAAAAGCATGCCCTGGTGCCCTAGCTATGCTGCCACAAGCTCATTCGAAGGAGCTTCCTTTCCTTTCTCTATATCTCCTCAATTTCCTTATTATCCCATGTCTCCTTGTCCTTTCAACTCTCTTCCTTATCCCACCGCTCCTCCATCATGGATCAACAGCCGAATGCACGACCTCGCCCCATTGGACGTAGACAGCTGCAATCGATCAAATGGAACAGTAACGAGGCCTTCTTGGACGATTATCCTCTGACGGGACCCCTGAACCTCAGGAACGATGAGCGCATGGGACCGTTGATCCAGAAGTACGTGAGCCAGGGCTGGATGGTGCGTTCTGGTGCCACGGTTCTGATGCTCGTCAGACGTATGGCAGCGTGGACGCCCAGCAGGAGCCTAGCAGCGATGCGCGAGTTGGCCGACGTCATGAACATGGTCTCGACGACCGTGAACTTTGCAGTTGCAACAGCATCGTTCATGGACATCCTGGAACGATTGGCTGTGAACGTGCCAGCTGTGCCCAGGAGCGTGTGCTACGGTACCTGGAGGCTGATCGTGAGCCCGTACAAGGAAGGCGACCCTGTGCCAGACGAGAGCGCCATGACCGAGGCCACGAACAAGCACCGCATCCAGGTCCTAGCAGGCGCGGCCCGTGTGACCCCTGCTCCAGTCAAGATGCCGAGGCCTATGGGCGTTGTCAGGATGTGCCTGGTGCCAGGAGACGTGGACCACGACAACGACAGCGATGAGGCACCAATGACCTGTGACATGTGACGTGGACTCGTTGTCAGGTGCGGTGTCACATGTCACTGGTGCCTCATCGCTGTCGTTGTCGTGGTCCACGTCTCCTGGCACCGGGCACATCCTGACAACGCCCACAGGCCTCGGGACCTTGACTGGAGCAGGGGTCACACGGGCCGCGCCTGCTAGGACCTGGATGCGGTGCTTGTTCGTGGCCTCGGTCATGGCGCTCTCGTCTGGCACAGGGTCGCCTTCCTTGTACGGGCTCACGATCAGCCTCCAGGTACCGTAGCACACGCTCCTGGGCACAGCTGGCACGTTCACAGCCAATCGTTCCAGGATGTCCATGAACGGTGCTGTTGCAACTGCAAAGTTCACGGTCGTCGAGCCCATGTTCATGACGTCGGCCAACTCGCGCATCGCTGCTAGGCTCCTGCTGGGCGTCCACGCTGCCATACGTCTGACGAGCATCAGAACCGTGACACCAGAACGCACCATCCAGCCCTGGCTCACGTACTTCTGGATCAACGGTCCCATGCGCTCATCGTTCCTGAGGTTCAGGGGTCCCGTCAGAGGATAATCGTCCAAGAAGACCTCGTTACTGTTCCATTTGATCGATGGTAGCTGTCTACGTCCAATGGGGCGAGGTTGTGCATTCGGCTGTTGATCCATGATGCGGGACAGTTGCGTTGTTGATCCTCGCCCCTTGTGTTCTAACCTTCATCCACCGGCCGGCCTGCACCATCCTCCTCTCCTCCCATCTTTCTCCGCCCCGTCCCTTCCCTCACTGCCCCGTCCCTTCCCTCGCTGCCCCGTTCCTTCTCCCCTCTCCCCTCCTCTCCCCCCCCCTGCTCCCCCCCGCCACCAGCCCTGCCCCGAGCGAGTGACGTGACGATCGAGGGGCCGCTGGTGGAGGGCGGGGAGGTGCGGGTGCGGGCGCGGCTGCAGTGGGCGGACGAGGGGCGCTGCGAGGTGGCGTGGTTCTTCACCACCACGCCACATGCGCTCTCCACGGCCGACTTGCAGCCCATCACAGCAGAGCGACCCAACTGCATGGTGAGTGCGAGCGAGGGTAGCACTGCAGGGGGCAGAGGGTAAAGGGTTGTCAGGCATCTCAAGAGGAGGGGCGCAGCGAGGTGGGCTGGTTCTTCACCCACTCGCCGCATGCTCTTTCTACGGCTGACCTGCAGCCCATCATGGCCGAGCCACCCAACTGCATGGTGAGCCACCCAACTGCATGGTGAGCCACCCATAACCTTTTACCGTAGATCCTGAGGTAGGGAGGGTTGCAGGGGCAGAGGGGCAAAGGGGTTGCAGGCGCCTCGAGAGGAGGGGAGCTGTGACTTGGCCTGGACTCGACTGGTCTTTTAATCATGCGGGCTTGTATGCATGGGGGGGTGTTTGCACAGGGGGGGTGTATGCATGGGGGGGTGTTTGCACAGGGGGGGGTGTACGCATGGGGGGGTGTATGCATGGGGGGGTGCACGTATGGGGGGGTGCACGTATGGAGGGATGTACGCATGGGGGGTTGCACGGGTGCATGCATGGGGGGATGTACGCATGGGGGGGTGTACGCATGGGGGGGTGTACGCATGGGGGGTGTACGCATGGGGGGGTGTACGCATGGGGGGTGTACGCATGGGACCTGACACGTGGCAGCCATTGGCTTGCACTTGGGACTTCCTCTTCTTCAATGACGCACAGAACGGACGGAGCTCTTTTCTTCTCCCACCCTCTTCCATCCGCCCCTCACCATCCGGCACGCACAGTGCCTTTTGGGGGTTGGGCCATTGGGTCGCTCCTGGTGAGTGATGCAGCGCTGGCTCAACGTAATGCACTCTTGCTCCCCTCCACACCTGCACTTCCCTGCACCTCTCCCCCGCCAGGCCCTCACAGTGCCTCTCAAGGCCATTGGCTCGCACATGGCAGTGCGGCTGGTGCCCGTGACGCTCAGAGCAGAGGAAACCATCTTCTTCTCCCCTCCCTCCCACCCGCCCCCCCCGCATCCGCCCTCTCACCACCAGTCCCTCACAGTGCCTCTCGAGGCCATTGGCTCCCACCTGGCGGTGCGTCTGGTGCCGGTGCGGGCGGATGGGGTCAAAGGCAGGCCCGTGGTGGCTGTGTCCTCTGCTCCAGTCCAAGGTGGGTTGACTTCTGCCACAGTGTTTCATTCTGTTAGCCTGCTGCCACAGTGTTTCATTCTGTTAGCCTGCTGCCAGTGTTTCATTCTGTTAGCCTGTTGCTACAGTGCGGAATGACTTGTCTCTGATCGTATTCCGTCCATCCGTGCTCTTCTCTTCAGCCTTAACCACTCATCAACTTCTCCCTCTCAGTTGGTCCCTCTCCACTCCGCTCTCCGCTCCGCCCCTCTGCCCTCCCCCTCTGCCCTCCCCCCTGCCCTCCCCCCACCCCCCTCCCCCCAGAGGGCGAGCCGCAGGTGTTGAGTGTGGACATGGAGGGCGAGGAGGAGGAGGGGGGCGTGCTGGTGGGGTACTACACCTACCAGGGGGGCGCCGAGGGGGACTCCCTGCTCGAGTGGTACCGCTACCCGGTGAGTGGTGCTGCTAGGTGGAGAGTGGTGCCGCTACCCGGTGAGTGGGCCCCTGTGCCGTGGTGAGTGCCGCCCTGTGGCTCGCCACTCCCCTCCTTTGCCAGCAGCCTCGCAAACTCGACATGTCTGCAAGCTTCAGTCATGGCGGTCAGAGCCCCCATTCTGGCGGTCAGAGCCCCAGCCTGGCAGTCAGAGCCCCATTCTGGCGGTCAGAGCCCCATTCTGGCGGTCAGAGCCCCATTCTGGCGGTCAGAGCCCTCATTCTGGCGGTCAGAGCCCTCATTCTGGCGGTCAGAGCCCCATCTCTGGCCCTCCTCCCCCTCAGCCAGTGCAGCGCCTCCTGCAGGCCGACATTGCACCGTCAGATCTCAGGCTGGTCAGGCCCGTTTTGCATCAGAGCACCACCACCGCTCCCATAACTCTCATTGCTTTGTTCCCATGCCACGCCTACCCCAGCGTGGCCAAGCCTTTCCACATCCACCACTTCCCACCCCTCATCATCTTCCCCCCTTCTCTCCCCCCCCGTCCCCCCTCCTTCCTCCCCTCTTTCCTGCCGCCCAGGACGAGGATGGCCAGCCGGGGCAACACGGCGAGCTAGTGGAGGACGAAGACAGTGACCGGATGGCAGGCGGCGGCATGAGTCGGCACGTGCCAACCGCCAGCGACGTGGGCGGCTTCCTCTCCTTCCGCGTCACGCCCGTCCGATCAGATGGCGCCACTGGCGCCCCCCAGGCCGTCTGCACGGCCGGCCCGATCCGGGCGGCGCTGCCGTCTGTTAGTGACGTGTGGGTGGAGGGCGATCTGGTGGAGGGCGGGCGGCTGGTGCCCAGGTGGACGTATGCGGGCGGCAGGCAGGGCAGTACCCGCATCCAGTGGTTCTCGGTAGGAGCCCCTTTGTTCTCGTCGATACACGTTTCTCGGCATGCTTTCCGTTGTCTTGTTGTTGTCCGGTCCTGGTATCCCTATGCTCACACATCCCTATGCTCACACGTCCCTATGCTCACACATCCCTATGCTCACACATCCCTATGCTCACACGTCCCTATGCTCACACATCCCGCTCTCTGAGCCTGGCATGCATGTTGCACAATCACCGTGCATGTTGCACAATCACCGTGCATGTTGCACAATCACCGTGCATGTTGCACAATCACCTTGCATGTTGCACAATCACCTTGCATGTTGCACAATCACCGTGCATGTTGCACAATCACCGTGCATGTTGCACAATCACGGTGCATGTTGCACAATCACCTTGCATGTTGCACAATCACCGTGCATGTTGCACAATCACCGTGCATGTTGCACAATCACCGTGCATGTTGCACAATCACCGTGCATGTTGCACAATCACCGTGCATGTTGCACAATCACCGTGCATGTTGCACAATCACCTTGCATGTTGCACAATCACCTTGCATGTTGCACAATCACCGTGCATGTTGCACAATCACCGTGCATGTTGCACAATCACCGTGCATGTTGCACAATCACCTTGCATGTTGCACAATCACCGTGCATGTTGCACAATCACCTTGCATGTTGCACAATCACCGTGCATGTTGCACAATCACCGTGCATGTTGCACAATCACCGTGCATGTTGCACAATCACCGTGCATGTTGCACAATCACCTTGCATGTTGCACAATCACCTTGCATGTTGCACAATCACCGTGCATGTTGCACAATCACCTTGCATGTTGCACAATCACCGTGCATGTTGCACAATCACCGTGCATGTTGCACAATCACCGTGCATGTTGCACAATCACCGTGCATGTTGCACAATCACCGTGCACGTTGCACAATCACCGTGCACGTTGCACAATCACCGTGCACGTTGCACAATCACCGTGCACGTTGCACAATCACCGTGCACGTTGCACAATCACCGTGCACGTTGCACAATCACCGTGCACGTTGCACAATCACCGTGCACGGGGCACGGGGCACGGGATCCCAACTTCAGCCTACCAGCTCCCCTCTCCTCCTCTCCCTCTCCATCCCCCCCGCCCCAACCAGATGCTACCCGACATGAGTGACAAGCGCCGCATGCACCCTTCCAAGCTCACCCACCCTGCAGCAGCAGGCGCGGTGGGGGGGGAGAGGGGCACGGAGCAGGGCGAAGGGGAGGGAGGGGAGGAGGAGGAGGGGATGCGGGTGGTGGGGGAGGAGGTGGGGCGCGTGGTGGCGGTGGTGTGCGTGCCGGTGAGGGACGACGGGGAGGAGGGCGCCGCTGTGGAGAGCGCACCTGTGGGGCCCGTCATGGCAGGTGAGACTCCTCCAGCCCTTGGCGCGTTGGGGGGCCATCATGGCCGGCACAGGTCTGGGCGAGTATGGGGAGCTTGCTCTCATGCTGTCCGCCCTCTTTCCTTCCCTCGCTTCCTGCCCATCCCCCCAGCGCCCCCAGCCTGCGTGCACCTGGAGGTGGACGGAGACATGTGGCACGGAGGGCAGCTCTCCTGCCGGGCGCGATACCATGGCGGGTACGGTGTACATGTGACGTGCATGTGCTGAGCATGTGCTGAGCATGTGCTGAGCATGTGCTGAGCATGTGCTGAGCATGTGCTGAGCATGTGCTGTGCATGCGCCAATGTGCGCTCGTCTTTCTATTCCCCATTTTTCTGCGTATCACATCATACCTACGCGCCCCTATTCAACGTCTTCCCTTCACGCCCCTTCCCGCTTCTTCTCTTATGTGTCCCATCTGCCCTCCCCGGTTTTGCCTCATCTGCCCTCCCCGGTTTTGCCCCATCTGCCCTCCCCCATGGCCGTCCCTGCCTGCAGGCAGCAGGGCGAGAGCAGGGTGGCGTGGGTGAGAGTGACGCCCGCAGGAGAGGAGCAGCTGGTTGGGCGGCAAGGTGAGGGGTGCTTGCGTGGGCGGCAGTGTGGGCACTGGACATGGCAGGCACTGGACATGGCAGGCACTGGACATGGCAGGCACTGGACATGGCAGGCACTGGACATGGCAGGCCATAGAATGAACACATTCCTGTACTCGTGCTGCTGCACCTTGCACTGACTGCAACATAAGGTGCCTACCTGGCCAAGTGCCTGTAATCTCTTGGCCCCGCTTCTTCTCCCCGTGTACCAACCCCCCCCCCATTGCAGCCTCCTACACACTGACAGCAGACGACGTAGGGTGCAGAATGCGAGTGGAGTTCACACCCGTCAGGGCCGATGGGGTGGCTGGGGAGATGGCTGCTCTCACCACCCGTACAGTCACACCAGGTTCGCCCAGTAATAGCTCAGAGCTGGCACAGTCACACCAGGTACCCCCTTCATGGTTGTTGTTCAATGCTGGCACAGTCACACCGGCCATGCACTTCATCGTTGCGCGTTTCAGTTTGAGTCGTACCGGGTGGAAGCCACACATGCAGCTCTCACCTACGGCATCTGAAGACGCCGTCTGCTGCCCTGCCCTCCCTGTCTCCCACCCCCCCTGCCCCTCTGCCTGCAGACCAACGCGTGTGCATTGCAGTGCTGGAGGGGGGCGTGCTGCAGGCGGGAGGGGAGTTGCTGGAGCGCGCTGCAGGGGGGGAGGGCGGAGGGGGAGAGGGCGGAGTGGGGGAGGGGGAGGTGTGGGTGGTGTGGTACAGGCGGAGACAGGACGGGAGGATGGTGCGGATAGACGGGGCTACAGGGCTGACCTACGTGCCTCAGGAGGCCGACTATGGCTGCTGCGTGGTGGCGGGGTGAGTGGGGTGTTTCACGTATGGGGTGCTTGTTTCACGTATGGGGTGCTTGTTTCACGTATGGGGTGCTTGTTTCACGTATGGGGTGCTTGTTTCACGTATGGGGTGCTTGTTTCACGTATGGGGTGCTTGTTTCACGTATGGGGTGCTTGTTTCACGTATGGGGTGCTTGTTTCACGCATGGGGTGCTTGTTTCACGCATGGGGTGCTTGTTTCACGCATGGGGTGCTTGTTTCACGCATGGGGTGCTTGTTTCACGCATGGGGTGCTTGTTTCACGCATGGGGTGCTTGTTTCACGCATGGGGTGCTTGTTTCACGCATGGGGTGCTTGTTTCACGTATGGGGTGCTTGTTTCACGTATGGGGTGCTTGTTTCACGTATGGGGTGCTTGTTTCACGTATGGGGTGCTTGTTTCACGTTTACATGCTGCCTAACGGACCCATGCAGTATCAGCTGTGCCACTTCGACGCTGCACGCTGCACCGCTCTCAGATTCCTCACGGCACCTCCCTCCCTCCCACCGCTGTCCCTTTTTCGCTCCCTCGCCTTCCCCTCTCCTCCTCATCCCACCAGCTGTCGCCCGCGGCTGCCCGATGGCACGTGGGGCGACGAGGTGCTTTCGGCTCCCGGGCCCATCGTGTTGCCAGGTGAGACGTACTGGCATGTACTGCCATATGCTGCCATTCTCTTAATGCTGCCATGCCATCTCTTCATGCTGCCAGGTCGTATTGTCTTGCCAAGCCCCCCCATGCTGTCTGGGCAGGTCTTACTGCTGCCAAGTCAGCCGTCCTGTTGTCACACAAACCTTTTGCTTCACCACACCTCAACCCTGTACCCTCCCCTGCTCTCTGCCTCCCCTCCTCTTAAACCCCCCTCTCCCCCCCTTTTTAAACACCAGAGCTGTCGGACGAGGAGGCGGTGCCGCAGGAGGTGCAGGGGGGGTTGGAGGTGAAGGTGGTGCTGTGTGCTGTGTCCTCTGCACTGGAGCCTTCGACCCTATGCCCGTCCCCCCTTCTCTCCCACACCAACCCCTACCCCCCATCACCCCTTCCCGCTGAATGCACCAGAGCTGTCGGACGAGGAGGCGGTGTCGCTGGAGGTGCAGGGGCGGGCAGAGGTGGGAGCCGTGCTGCACGCCGTGCATGCCGTGTCGCCCGCGCTGGAGCCCTTCGTCACGGCCGTGCACGTACAGTGGTGAGAGCCGTGCTTGCATGTATGCGTTGTTCTACATTCTGCAGTACTTGAGTTGCTCATGCGTGTGTGCACGCTCACATCACATGCGTCACACACACAGACCCCTCTCTGTTTTCTCCCCTCTCGCAGGTGGCAGGCCAGCAGTGGCTCTGACTCGCACCAACCAATAGACGGTGCCACGTCACCGCAGTTACCAGTGGCAGCGTGCCACGTGGGCGCGTACCTGCTGTGCTCCGCCACGGTGCTGGACTCGTTCGCCCGCTCCTTCAACTCCGTCGCCACCACCGCCACCCCCGTTGTCGCCGCTTCTGCCGCTCCTGTCAATGCCACTCCCATCTCCGCCACCCCGCTATCACCAGCCCTTGTTGCTGCGGTCCCTGTTGCGGGTGGCGCCGCCGCTCCCACCACCCCATGCACTGCGGATGGGCTGCCTGCCTCTGACCCCGCTGTGCCTGCTCCCCCTGCCGCCGCCGCTGCTGCTGCTGCCGACACTACTGTGAACGCCGCTGCTGCAGGTGCGGATAAGGCGGCTGGCATGCAGAGGGCGCAGCAGCAGCAGCAGCAGCAGCAGGAGGAGTACGGTGGTGGTGGCGAGGGGGAGACGCTGCTGGAGGGTGGTGAGAGGGGGGTGCATGGCGGTCACGAGCAATGGCGTGCACACAGGAGAGGGGGTGAGCGGGAGGGAGGCCATGTGGAGGGAGGAGGAGGCGAACGGGAGAGCAGGGTAGGGGCAGAGGCCGCAGCGGCTGATGGAGGTAAGGCGCATGAATCAGATCGTTCGGACATAGGGCGGTCGTTTCCACTGGCCGCACCTTACCCCTCACTGTCCGTGCCGCCTTCCCCCGTTTCCTCACATTCCCACCTCTCCACCCGCGTCTCCTCACCTCCCCACTATCCCACACCCCTCTCTCTCCCACCTGCCCTACAGGCCCTACCCCCTCCCAGCACCCCACCGCCCTGCGCATATCAGGAGCCCCCTACCACATCTCGCTCTTCCACCTGCACCTGCCATCAGCGCCCCACTATCCTGCAATTCTCTCCCTCCCTCCCTCCCCGCTGCAGCCCTGCGCATATCTGGAGGCCCCTTCCACACGTCGCTCTTCCACCTGCACCTGCCAGCAGCGCCCCCCGCCCCCGCATGGCTGCGCCTCTCCTCCTGCGCCATCCAGTGGTTCCGCGTGCCTCCAGGGGGCTTCCATGCGCTGGACCCCCACGCCATACCAGGTGCGAGCTCACATGTCTCAGGGCTCAGTCAAGCTGACTCTTGCTGCCATACCCCCCCCTGGCGGCCATGTGCCCCTCCCATGAGCCCCCCCTGCGTCTGACTCTGCGTGTGACACGATCAGTGCAACATCTACCCTGTCACCTCTGCCCTCACGAGCCACCTTGTTCCTCTGTGACTTCCACCGCATGCCCTGACTTCCACCGCATGCCCTCGTGACTTCCCTCCTGCATTCAGCCGCCTCAAAGCACACCCATCCTCCTCCCCACCTCCATCCCTTCCTTCCCACAACCCACACCGATGCAGGTGCCACCGGCACGACCTACCATGCTGACGTGGCAGACTCACACCAGTGCCTGATGGTGGAAGTGAGACCCCTGCACGCCCATGGGGATGCCTCTCAGCTTGACAGTGGCGCCGCCTCCCAGTCGCAGGGAGGCCGCAGGGAGGAGGTGCTGCGAGTGCTGTCAGAGCAAGTGCTCGTCGGTACGGGCCACACTCTGCCTGCTCTGTCGCTGCTTCCTCTGCACTAACAACGATGCACTGTTTGCAATCCTATGCACTGTTCATCCTTAACCGTCCGTATGTGCGCTGTTCACCACCCCCCGCTCACCAGACCCCGCAGTGGCGCGCGACGTGGACCTCATAGTGGCGGCTGGCGGCACCAAAGTGGAGGTCAGCCCTGGGCGTCGGGGCTGGGGACACCATGGGTGCATCATGTGGCCCTGTGCTGCCATGTGGTCATGTGCTGCCATGTGTCATGTGCTGCCATGCGGTCATGTGCTGCCATGCGGTCATGTGCTGCCATGCGGTCATGTGCTGCCATGCGGTCATGTGCTGCCATGCGGTCATGTGCTGCCATGTGTCAGGGCTTACACTGCATGCTGCAATACCTCTTGAGGAGCCATGGCTTCCTGCTGTGATGCTGTGCATGCCATGTGTGCTGTACATACAACCATCCTCCTCAACTCCACCTTAGTTGCCGCACTCCCCTCCTTCCACGTCTTGCTCCCCTTGCCCCGTCTCTACTTCTCCCCTCCCTGATCTATCCATTCCCCTTCCGTCCTTCTCCCACCGCTCTCCCCTTCCCCACCTCCTCCCCCCCCCAACCCCCCACCCCCTTGCCTAGCAGACACATGATGTTGGCCGGTCGGGGCGCAGGGAGCACCGAGTGGTGGACGCCAATAGAAAGCGGTTCAAAGTGGTGAAGCTCACTGCCTTGGCTGCCATCAGCAGAGTGGAAGTCAGGGCCACCTACGACCCTCCCTTCAGGGTACTGCATCCATCCACCCCTCCTCCCTTCAGGGTACTGCCCTCCACCTCCCCTCCCACAAACCTGCCAGACCCCCCCTTCCTCCCCTTTCCCCCTTCCTCCCCTTTCCCCCTTCCTCCCCCTTCCCCCTCCCCTGTCCCCTCCCCGAATACCACTCCCCCTCACTTATCATGTGCAACATCCACACACTCAGCCCCCATGCGTCCACCCTGACGCACGCCCCTGCGCCATGCCCCATGTGTGCGTGCAGGTGGAGACGGAGAGGGGGCAGCTCGAGCACATGCGCATAGTGGTGAGCACGGAGAAGGAGGTGGAGCTCACCCTGCCGTCGCAGCGAGCGCGCGACGTGATGGTGCTGTGCCTGCGCGCCTTCGTGCAGCTGCACCGCACCGCCAAGCACCACTGATGGGGACAGCACCACCACACAACCCCGCACGCTGCTAGGCAACACTACAACAAAGCCACCGTGTTGCACCGTGCAGCACCGCACACACAAGTGTTGCTGGTGATGCCGTCCCTGCGGCATGGCCTCAGTTGTGCCAAGGTGGCCGCTGGGCTGAATAAGCGTCCCAACGCTCCCAGTGCACCGTGCACCATGCACCATGCACCATGCACCATGCACCATGCACCATGCACCATGCACCATGCACCATACACCATGCACCATGCACCATGCACTATGCCCATTCTGCTGCTGCTCATGCAGAGAGGAGCCTCAACGGGCAGGCATTAGCGCCTGTCCTTGCTCCCCAAGGTCAGAGGGAGGGAGCTTAGGAACAGCCAGAGCAGTTTGATTGCCTTCAGATTCAGATGGATGTGGTAATTGTCACTCAACTAGAAAGATCAACACTTAATAATAAAGCTGGGTGGCCGCTTGCTGCTGCTACTGCATTTCTGAAAAAGGAGAAAACTAACTGGCTAGGCAACGCTATTGGGAGGGATACAGCAGGAATGCTGATATCATAAGCAGAGACGGCAAGCTGCATGCGGGAGCCGTTTCTAGCCAGCCTCAGGAAGGCAAACACTTGTTCCAGGACGTCAGGAGGCGCGCTCTCAGCACAGGAGCAACACGGTGTTACTGTTCACACGGCTGTGAGCAGACTCTGTTCTGCCCGTTGCGCACCAATAGGCAGTCCAGCAGGGCTGGCACGTGTGAGCCGCCTCTCTTCTTCTGCCCATGCGGGCTTTGCTTGGTCACAGGAGAGGGGCTGGCAAGGCAAGTGAGGCGGTCAGAGCAGGGGGGAGGCGGAGGGGAGAGCGAGGGCGGGCGAGGCGAGGATGCGGCGCAGAGCCGCCTCCGCTGCTGGCAGCGAGTCCACGGCGTCCGACGTGGTGAAGGACAGGCGTTGCACATGGAACTGAAAAAGGGGGGGGAGGGGGGAGGGGGAGAGGGAGACGGGAAGAGATGAGGGGGGAATGAAGCATAGAGAGGGGGGGGAATGAATAGCATGAAGAGGCATGTGCGGAGTGTTGCACTACCATGGGCTGTATCAATGTGCCTGTATCAATGTGCCTGTATCAATGTGCCTGCATCAATGTGCCTGTATCAATGTGCCTGTACTGTATCAATGTGCCTGTATCAATGTGCCTGTACGCCGTGCCCACTCGCCTGCGTGCCGTGGCGCACGCGGATGTCCACGCCCTTGCTGTCGATGCTGATGAACGACGCGTCATCGATGGGCTGCGAGTTGGACCCCGCCAGCACCGCCCTCAGCTCGCCGCCCAGCCGGTCGTTCAGACCCTGCCATGCTCGCGTGGGGTGGGGTGGGGTGGGGTGGGGTGGGGCGGGGTGGGGTGGGGTGGGATGGGTTGGGGTGGGACGGGGTGGGGTGGGGTGGGGTGGGGGCGGCACAGGTATGGCTGCTGCTGATGGGCGAAATAGATTCGGGTGGGGCTGTCTACGCTAGCAGGCACCGGGATAAGAATGAGAGATGCTGCATGGGGGAAGTACATGCTGTGCTAAATCAGCCATCATCTGCAGTGTCTTTTACTGAGTCATCACCTGCAGAGTCTTATAACGAGTCCTCACCTGCAGTTTCTGGCTAAATGAATCTATTATGGTTGTAACGGACCTGCAGTGTCTGGTCCACGTTGTTGGTGGCGACGGGGTCGGGCGTGGCTGCCACATACTCCGCCACGTCGATCCAAGCAACCGTGCCAAAGCCGCCCACAAAGTAGATGTCGCTGCCAGGGGGGCAGAAGGGGACGTGCGAGCAGGAAGCAGGAGCATGTGAGCAAGGGGGCAAGTGAGCAAAGGGGCGTGCAGAGCCACGAATGCTTGCTTCAGCCAGACAACCACGGCAATACAAGTACTCCCGCTCACTGTTACCAGATGGCTCATGCAGTTACCAAATAAACCATGCGGCACCATGCAGTTACCAGATGGCACCATGCGGCACCATGCAGTTACCAGATGGCACCATGCGGCACCATGCAGTTACCAGATGGCACCATGCGGCACCATGCAGTTACCAGATGGCACCATGCGGCACCATGCAGTTACCAGATGGCACCATGCGGCACCATGCAGTTACCAGATGGCACCATGCGGCACCATGCAGTTACCAGATGGCACCATGCGGCACCATGCGGTTACCAGATGGTATCCATGCGGTAGAAGTGGAAGTTGCCCCACTGCTGTGCTGCCCCGTGCTGGTGCCGCTTCACATAGAACCCGCGCGCCCACTCCTGGTGGGGGCAGAGGGAACGGGGGGGTGGAGAAAGGTGAGCGCCATGGGTGCAGCAGTGCGGGCGTAGGAGCACGGATTGAGTGGGAGGGTTTAGACGGAGCGGAGGGTGATGGGGGGAGGAGGAGCGCGAGGGGTGTAGGAGCAGCAGTGCGAGGGGCGTAGAGAGTACGGATTCTTGGGACGAAGTGCAGCCGTGTGCTCGTGCTGCTGTAGGCACAGGGGGCTAGTGGCAGGGGGGCTAGTGGCAGGGGGGCTAGTGGCAGGGGGGTTAGTGGCAGGGGGGCTAGTGGCACGGGGGCCTAGTGGCACGGGGGCCTAGTGGCACGGGGGCTAGTGGCACGGGGGCCTAGTGGCACGGGGGCTAGTGGCACGGGGGCTAGTGGCACGGGGGCTAGTGGCACGGGGGCTAGTGGCACAGGGGCCTAGTGGCACGGGGGCTAGTGGCACGGGGGCTAGTGGCACGGGGGTACCGTGATCCCTGGAAACGAGGCCCGCCTTTTATTTAGCCGACCCAATGGTCGTACGAGGACCAGCCAAGAGAAATGAGAGATGACGCCTGCTGTGCGGGCGGCAGGGGGTAGAGGATTTACCTGCTGGGCGGGCGGCAGGGGGTAGAGGCTTTACCTGCTGGGCGGGCGGCAGGGGGTAGAGGCTTTACCTGCTGGGCGGGCGGCAGGGGGTAGAGGCTTTACCTGCTGGGCGGGCGGCAAGGGGTAGAGGCTTTACCTGCTGGGCGGGCGGCAGGGGGTAGAGGTCTCCGAAGATGGTGGCTCTGGCGTTGGCGAGGCCGCTCCAGCCGGGGATCTGCACGACCACGGTGCAGCGCGGGTCCGAGTGCAGGTTGCGCGAGTGCATGCCCAGCGGCGACAGCAGGAAGATGGGGTCTGACGGGCGGACAGGGGGCGGGGATGGAGAGAAGGGACGTCGATGTGGCAGGAGTTGGGGTGCGGCAAAACACGATGCCATGATGCCAGAGCTGTCAGAGAGGCCCCTTTCGTCCTTGCTCTTCCCTGCCATCGCGCACACTCTCTCTCAAACCCGCTCTCGCCACTCACAACCGTCACCCCATCCCCCCACTCACGCCCATCAGCATCAGTGGTGAAGTCCACGAGCGACCCAAACGGGTAGCCCTTGCGGCGGTGGTGCGACCTTGACATGATGGAGCAGAGCTGCGCGTACTGCGCCTGCTCCACCAGGTTGCGCACCGCCACCGCTGGCGCCGGCAGTCCGTGCGCGCTCGTGGCGCTCTCCACGCCGCCGGAGACGGGCGAGCGGAAGAGACCCGAGCGCGTGGCGGACACTGGAGGGAGGGGGAGGGAGGGAAGGGTGGTGCGGGAGAGGGTGGTGGGACACGGAAGGGTAGAAAAGGGAAGGTGCAGCATGGGCGAGGGATGGGCGGCAGAGAGTGGCTGGCGGGCATGGCGGCAAAGATGCGGCAGTGGGAATGTGGGAGGGGGTGGTGAGGGATGGCGGGGGTGGGGGCGGGAGCGGGGAGCGCGGGGGGGCAGTGCGGGAATGTGGTCAGGCAGGGTGCCCGCCCTCACAGCGCCCTCTCACTCACCCGCCCTCACAGCGCCCTCTCACTCACACGCCCTCACAGCGCCCTCTCACTCACCCGCCCTCACAGCGCCCTCTCACTCACCCGCCCTCACAGCGCCCTCTCACTCACACGCCCTCACAGCGCCCTCTCACTCACCCGCCCTCACAGCGCCCTCTGACTCACACGCCCTCACAGCGCCCTCTCACTCACCCGCCCTCACAGCGCCCTCTCACTCGCCCGCCCTCACAGCGCCCTCTCACTCACCCGCCCTCACAGCGCCCTCTCACTCACCTGCCCTCACAGCGCCCTCTCACTCACCCGCCCTCACAGCGCCCTCTCACTCACCCGCCCTCACAGCGCCCTCTCACTCACACGCCCTCACAGCGCCCTCTCACTCACCCGCCCTCACAGCGCCCTCTCACTCACCCGCCCTCACAGCGCCCTCTCACTCACACGCCCTCACAGCGCCCTCTCACTCACCCGCCCTCACAGCGCCCTCTCACTCACCCGCCCTCACAGCGCCCTCTCACTCGCCCGCCCTCACAGCGCCCTCTCACTCACCCGCCCTCACAGCGCCCTCTCACTCACCCGCCCTCACAGCGCACTCTCACTCACCCGCCCTCACAGCGCCCTCTCACTCACCCGCCCTCACAGCGCCCTCTCACTCACACGCCCTCACAGCGCCCTCTCACTCACCCGCCCTCACAGCGCCCTCTCACTCACCCGCCCTCACAGCGCCCTCTCACTCACACGCCCTCACAGCGCCCTCTCACTCACCCGCCCTCACAGCGCCCTCTGACTCACACGCCCTCACAGCGCCCTCTCACTCACCCGCCCTCACAGCGCCCTCTGACTCACACGCCCTCACAGCGCCCTCTCACTCACCCACCCTCACAGCGCCCTCTCACTCGCCCGCCCTCACAGCGCCCTCTCACTCACCCGCCCTCACAGCGCCCTCTCACTCACCCGCCCTCACAGCGCCCTCTCACTCACCCGCCCTCACAGCGCCCTCTCACTCACCCGCCCTCACAGCGCCCTCTCACTCACACGCCCTCACAGCGCCCTCTCACTCACCCGCCCTCACAGCGCCCTCTCACTACTCACCCGCCCTCACAGCGCCCTCTCACTCACACGCCCTCACAGCGCCCTCTCACTCACCCGCCCTCACAGCGCTGTCGCCAGCAATTTGCACCAGCGGCGCCGCCTCCTGCTCGCCCGCGCCCGCTCCCGAAGCCGCGCACGATACCCTCCGCCTGCGGGGGGAAGCGCGCACTGCGCTTGGCGGAGTGGCGCTGCAGTCGGGGCCGAGGGGGGAAGCGGTGGCTAGAGAGTGGGCGGAGGAGAGTCGGCGTGCGCGTGGCAATGGACGCGCGGAAGGGAGACTCGCGCGGAGTTGCAGATCTGGGGAATGGCGGAGGTGGTGGCGCGCGGACAAGGGTGCTCTGGGAAGGCGAGAGGGGGGGAGGGAGAGGCGACAGTGGGGGGGGAGAATGAGAAAGGAAGCGCGAGGACGGAAGCCAAGGGAAATGTGGGCGATTCGGGAACCTGCCCGAACGCTAGCATCTCGTCCTTCACACGGCAGCCGCCTGTAGAAGTGGAAGTAACAGCCCACACGCACACGAAGGCGCCCGTTCCGGCACGCGATAAGCGCTCACCGCGTGCGAACACCGCAGCAGCGGACGGCGACTCACCTACTGCATTCGCTCGCTGATGTCGCTGTGGCCAGGGGTCGCGCTCCTGGCGGCAAGGCAGGGTGGATGCGGAGGGCCATGGGACGGACGCGCGGGGAAGGGGGAATGCAGGAGGGGGAACGCTGTGCGGAGGAATGATGGGCGGAGGTCCGCGGGACAACGCCAATGGGCGACGTAACTCGCCCGCTTCGCGTCGTGAGCTAAGTATTGGTCGGGCGGCAGTTTTACTTTTGGCGGCGAATGGACCGAGGGCCGCAGTTGTCGTGATCTCGAGGTGGGCGAAGAAAAATGGCGGAGATCAGAGGAAAATTTGACCTTGGGTTTGTCGGTCAAACTTGGGGTTCGGGGGATGGGCTTACCAGGGGAAAATATTAATATTACAGGTCATATTTCGTAAGCGCCAACTCCACGATTCTTGTAACACAAATACTGTAATTGGTTTTGACGTTGTGCTGTGCCAGCTTGAGGGGGAATGAGCTGCTTACACGTGGCCGATATTGTCGGAATCCTGGAATACTGAGGCACAAGCCAATCAGCGCGCGAGTCGCGTCAGCATCAACGCAATGTCGAGACTAGGTTGAATCTTTAGTAGAAGAATAGGTTTCGGCAGCTACCTGATTGTCGCTGTTACAGAGACGAGACATCCCTTATCGGGGTCAAACCTGCCTGACCACGCGCCTGACCACCCACCATAGCACATATTTGGCGCCAAGCAAGCAGCCTAGAACGCCGCCAAGATCCTCTTTCTCCCAGTCGTCCCTTGTCGCCTGCTCACTTCGCTTGGTTCACCTCCACTTTTATCTCTCCGCAACCCAACTCACCGCGCTGCTCGCGTGGATGCCGTCTAACCATAGTCCAGTTCCAAACTTCTTCTTCGGAGTTCTTTCCGCCGTGCCTTCTTGAACCAACCCCGCTTCCGTGACCCCGCGGTTGCCGCCATGCGACGAGCGGCGAGACGGAGGCGAGAGGAGCGGGTTGGGAGAAACCTTCAAGAGCAGTGTGGGCTGGACGCGTGAGGCGCGTAAGCGGCGTGAGGTGCGGGACACCCAGCAGCAGTGCTGAGAGTGCGTGGTGCAGTTGAGTGTACAGCGATGATTATGAATTGACTCCACGACACGACCAGCGCACCACCCACGGCACTGCGGATTCAAGCGCAGCAGCGCCGCGTCGAGGCCCTGAGCCGTTCATAGCCCTCTTGCCCTCTCACCCGGGTTGCCCCCCCGATCTTGTATCATATCCTTCTCTCTCGCGCACCCCCCTGACGGTCTCTTGGAATCGGAGAGATTTGTACATATTTGTCCTCTCCGCCTCTCCGCCTCTCCGCGTCTCCGCCCGTCCGTCATGTCGTCCCCGACGCTGCTGGCGCGCCAGGCGTCGATCTACTCGCTCACGCTCGACGAGTTCCAGGCGGCCTTCGCAGGCCCGTCGCACGCCGTCGCATCCATGCCCATGGACGACTTCCTGCGATCCGTCTGGCTCGCCGAGGAGTCGCACATGCTCGCAGCCGCGGACCCGCGCGCGCGCGACAGGGCCGCGGGGCTGCTGCGCGCGCGCTCGCTGCGGCGGCAGAAATCCGCAGCGGCGCTTCCGCGCGCGCTGACTGCGCGGACAGTAGAGGACGTGTGGAAAGACATTCAGGCGGAACTAGCGGGGGAGGGGGAAGCAGAGGAAGGGGGCGGAGCGTCTGGGGAAGGAACGCGCACAGGGGGGGGAGCGCAGCAGCTAGCGCAGGGGCAAAGGCAGCAGCAGGGACGGCAAATGTCGTTTGCGGAGATAACACTAGAAGATTTCCTGGTGCGCGCAGGGATATCGAAGGAAGAGCTTATAGGGGGGATAGAGGCGATAGAGGGAGAGCAGGCAGGTGGGGAAGAGGGGAGTGGCGGAGTGGGGAACAGTGCGCGGAGAGAGGGGGAGGGGGATGCAGTGGCCCAAGGGGAAGAGGCGGAGAGACGGGGGGAAGGATTGGGGGCGACGGTAGGTGAGGAGGCAGGCGGGGGTGGCTCAGGGGGCATGGGGGCGTATAACGGTGCTGGCAGTGCTGCCATGGCGCCCGATGCAGCAGCAGCAGCAGCAGCAGCGACAGCAGGGTGGGCGCTGTACCCGCATGCACTGACGCCAGGGCAAGCAAACCTCCTATCCATGCAGCTGCACCCCCACCACCACCACCACCAGCAGCAGGGGCAGCAGGGGCAGCAGGGCGGCCAGGGCGGGGGAGGCGGAGGCGGAGGGGGAGGGGCAGGGGCAGGGGAGCGGGCGCTGCGGCAGCAGGCGGTGGTGGAGATGGCGGCGGCAGCCGTGGCGGACGCGGGGCACAGCCACGTGGCGTCCGCCTTCGCCGCCACGCACCACGCCGCTGCCGCCGCTGCCCTCGGAGAGCTGGGAACGCTGGGGTCGCTGGGTGCGCCGCCTGCTGGGCTCCCCATGGGGCTGGGGATGGGCGCAGGCATGGGCGGGGGTGGGGGAATGGCGGCCACTGCTTATGGCTTGGGCGCAGGCATGGGCGCAGGCATGGGCGCAGGCATGGGCACGGGGGGACCGGCGGGGCTGGCTGGTGCGGGCATGATGTCGACAGATGGAGTGGGGGGCGGGGGGGAGAGGTGGGCGGGCAGTGACGGGGGAGGGGGAGGGGGGCAGTCGGATACTGGCTGGGGGAGTGGGGATGGGGACACCATGAGCGGGGGCGTGGGGGGGAGTGGGGGGCGGAGGGGGAGGAAGCGGAGTGGGGAGGGGGGAGGGGCGCCGGTGGAGCGGAGGCAGAAGCGCATGATCAAGAACAGAGAGTCGGCGGCGCGGTCCAGGGCACGCAAACAGGTGCGGTGAGGCTGAGGCTGAGGCTGAGGCTGAGGCTGAGGTGAAGGCTTCGAGTAGATGGGTGGTTGAGGTCAACGGCATGAGCACTACGCTGGCCGTGCTTACTGGTGGTGGCATTGGCCGTGCTGCTGATCACGCCATTTGTGTCCAGTGCTGAGGAGGTGGAGAGGTCATTCTCACCATAGCGTGGTAACATCCATCCCGTTGCTCCCCCGTGCATCTGTGTCCCCCCCGTGCCTCTGTGCGCCCCCCAGGCGTACACGGTGGAGCTGGAGGCGGAGGTGGCGCAGCTCAAGGAGGAGAACGAGCAGCTGCGCGCGCAGCTCATGACGGCGCAGACGCAGGTGGGTGGGGGGAATGCGCGACTTAAGGCCATGCTCAGTCAGGTGGGGCGCGCAGACGCGGGTGGGTGTTGGAGATGCAGACGCAGGTGGGGAGGGAGGGGGGTGGTGTGCTGCTGATGGTCCTCTGGCATTCGCATGTGGGTGTACATGCTGTGCTGCACGTGCATGCGGTTGCCATCAGTGTCATTGCAATGCGTGCATTCCTCTGCACGTGTGCACTGCCATGCACATGAAGATGCATGCGACTCACACTCTCTGCCCCATGCCCACCCCTCCTCTCCTCCCTGCATCTGTCCTGCAGGCCATCCAAGTCGAGCAGCAGCGCAAGCAGGTGAGCCGCCTGCACTCCTTCCCCCTCTCTCCGCCACACCTTCCCCCTCTCTCCGCCACACCTTCCCCCTCTCTCCGCCACACCTTCCCCCCTCTCCGCCACACCTTCCCCCTCTCTCCGCCACACCTTCCCCCTCTCTCCGCCACACCTTCCCCCTCTCTCCGCCACACCTTCCCCCTCTCTCCGCCACACCTTCCCCCTCTCTCCGCCGCACCTTCCCCCTCTCTCCGCCATACCTTCCCCCTCTCTCCGCCACACCTTCCCCTCTCTCCGCCACACCTTCCCCCTCTCTCCGCCACACCTTCCCCCTCTCTCCGCCACACCTTCCCCCCTCTCCGCCACACCTTCCCCCTCTCTCCGCCACACCTTCCCCCTCTCTCCGCCACACCTTCCCCCTCTCTCCGCCACACCTTCCCCCTCTCTCCGCCACACCTTCCCCCTCTCTCCGCCGCACCTTCCCCCTCTCTCCGCCATACCTTCCCCCTCTCTCCGCCACACCTTCCCCCTCTCTCCGCCATACCTTCCCCCTCTCTCCGCCATACCTTCCCCCTCTCTCCGCCACACCTTCCCCCTCTCTCCGCCACACCTTCCCCCTCTCTCCGCCACACCTTCCCCCTCTCTCCGCCACACCTTCCCCCTCTCTCCGCCGCACCTTCCCCCTCTCTCCGCCATACCTTCCCCCTCTCTCCGCCACACCTTCCCCCTCTCTCCGCCACACCTTCCCCCTCTCTCCGCCACACCTTCCCCCTCTCTCCGCCACACCTTCCCCCTCTCTCCGCCACACCTTCCCCCTCTCTCCGCCACACCTTCCCCCTCTCTCCGCCACACCTTCCCCCTCTCTCCGCCACACCTTCCCCCTCTCTCCGCCACACCTTCCCCCTCTCTCCGCCACACCTTCCCCCTCTCTCCGCCATACCTTCCCCCTCTCTCCGCCACACCTTCCCCCTCTCTCCGCCATACCTTCCCCCTCTCTCCGCCATACCTTCCCCCTCTCTCCGCCACACCTTCCCCCTCTCTCCGCCACACCTTCCCCCTCTCTCCGCCACACCTTCCCCCTCTCTCCGCCACACCTTCCCCCTCTCTCCGCCACACCTTCCCCCTCTCTCCGCCACACCTTCCCCTCTCTCCGCCACACCTTCCCCCTCTCTCCGCCACACCTTCCCCCTCTCTCCGCCACACCTTCCCCCTCTCTCCGCCACACCTTCCCCCTCTCTCCGCCACACCTTCCCCCTCTCTCCGCCATACCTTCCCCCTCTCTCCGCCATACCTTCCCCCTCTCTCCGCCATACCTTCCCCCTCTCTCCCCCATACCTTCCCCCTCTCTCCGCCATACCTTCCCCCTCTCTCCGCCATACCTTCCCCCTCTCTCCGCCATACCTTCCCCCTCTCTCCGCCACACCTTCCCCCTCTCTCCGCCACACCTTCCCCCTCTCTCCGCCACACCTTCCCCCTCTCTCCGCCACACCTTCCCCCTCTCTCCGCCATACCTTCCCCCTCTCTCCGCCATACCTTCCCCCTCTCTCCGCCATACCTTCCCCCTCTCTCCGCCACACCTTCCCCCTCTCTCCGCCATACCTTCCCCCTCTCTCCGCCATACCTTCCCCCTCTCTCCGCCATACCTTCCCCCTCTCTCCGCCATACCTTCCCCCTCTCTCCGCCACACCTTCCCCCTCTCTCCGCCATACCTTCCCCCTCTCTCCGCCATACCTTCCCCCTCTCTCCGCCACACCTTCCCCCTCTCTCCGCCATACCTTCCCCCTCTCTCCGCCATACCTTCCCCCTCTCTCCGCCATACCTTCCCCCTCTCTCCGCCATACCTTCCCCCTCTCTCCGCCATACCTTCCCCCTCTCTCCGCCATACCTTCCCCCTCTCTCCGCCATACCTTTCCCCTCTCTCCGCCACACCTTTCCCCTCTCTGCGCCTCCTCCCCCGCTTTTTCCTCTCTCGTGCTGGTCTCTCGTCTCAAGCACCCCTCTTCCATGTATCTCTCCATCTCCCACCCCCTGCAGCTAGCAGCCGGAAACCCCTCTTCATCTGCAGCAGCGCCAGCAGCCGACTCCCCGCTGACTCCCCTACCGCCAGCCGCAGCCGGCCCGTGTAGTCTGCCTGCACAGGCACCCCCTGCTTCACACCACGTCGTGCCCGCTTCCCACCCGCACACTCCTCATCCACACACTCCCTCTCCTGCTTCTGCGGCGCTCTGTGCGCCTGCTGCCCCAGTAGCTGCTGCAGCGGGTGCAACAGCAGCGGGTGCGGAGGGGCCTGCAGGCAGCAAGAGACTGGAGCGGTCGAGGTCAGGGCCGTGGTGACAGGGGGGAGCGCTCAGCAGCACTCGCTGCAGCTGGCCCGGCTCCAGGGGGAATCACAAAGGCTCGAATGATTGGCAGGCTTACTACACAGCGTGGGCGGTTTACTTGCGGGCAGGGCAGGGCAGGGCGGGGCAGGGCAGGGCAGGGCAGGGCACTACTAACCATGACAGGGGCTGGCAGGGAGATTCCTGCCTTAGTGCAGAGCAATGATGTCTCTGGGAGGGACGGAAAAACACATGGGTGACCCGGATCCCTGGCTGTCCTGTTATCCCCCGCATATACTAGCGATCTCCAAATCTCGACTCCCGCACGGGTACTACTGTATGTGGGTACGAGTACGCAATGATGTGTTTTTGTTTGAAAATTTGAACGCCGACCCTCCCACCCAAGCAGGAATCCGTACATCACTAGGGGGTGGATTCAGCAGGCTAGAAAGATGGTAGGTTACGTGCTGGGTCAAGCGCTTGGGGCGAAAGCAGCATTCATCACCACCGCCAATGAGGTTCGAGCCCGAACCCCTCACACAACATATTCAGCTGAAAGTTTTACATTGTGTGAATGAGCAGCACTTGCAATGCTGCTACACCATTCAGTCCATTCTCACGCCTTGACCCTCACGCCTTGACCCTCACGCCTTGACCATGTACTTGACCACGCCTCCTCGCAGCTTCTCCATGAACTCAACTGCCTCCTTCTGCACTCACGGAGCGGGCATGCGGTGGCACACAGGGAGGGGCACGCAGTTGGAGCAGAGAGCAGTGCAAGGCACCGAGGTGAGAGTTGGGTGGAGGAGACACAAGGCATCCTGCACTGAGGGGGTCAGCAGCTCAGAGAGCCGGGTGACATTCTCAAGTGCCACAACATGTGCAGCTGCAGAAACAGCACTTCTCCAAAAATTGCTTGAGTGGAAAATGAGAGCGGTAAGTGATTGTGCGGGGGGGACAACCGGGGTGGCAGAAAAGGGGGAATGCGAGAGATAGGGAGGAGCCAGCGGTGGAGGGAGAAGAGGAGGCACATGTGGCGAGCGAGGCGGCACCTGGTTGGATTGCGTGGCGGCGGCGATGTTTTCATCAAGCAGGGTGAGCAGGTCCCTGTCCAGCTCCCCGCTGGCCGCCATGGCCAGCAGCTCAGCGCGCTTGTCCTTGGACGCCAGCAGCCGGTGCAGGCGCTCCCTCGCCCCCGTCATCGCCTTCTCCAGGGCGTCGTACGCCGCTGCGGTGCAGGCAGGGGGGGTGGGGGGAGGTGACGGTGGGGGCAGAACGGGATGCAAACAATTGGAAGCAGCGTGAGCCAAGATGCCATCTGCTCTTGATTCCATGATAAACCCGACACTTTGCCAACACTTTGCCAACACATTGCCTCTCACCACTGACTGACATCTCCCTCCCCTCACCTATCCCTCCCCTCACGTGTTCTCGCCTGTCACCTCTCCCCTGCACCTATAACCTCCCCTCACATACTCCTCTCCTCCCCTTCCATCATCCCCCTTCCCCTCACCTATTCAAGCACCCCCCCCCTTCCCCCCCAGCCGCCCACATATCCCCCCCCCCACCTATGCCCTCCTGCAGCACGGTCTCCAGCGCCTCCAGCTCCGCCAGGCGGTCGGCGTCATCAGCAGTGGGGCGCGCGGCGAAGCGCAGCTGCCCCATGGCCGTGCGCAGCGATGTGAAGAACGCGGGCGTGAGGCGCGGGTGGCAGCGCGCGATCTGGGCCTCCATGTCCGGGAGTTCCGTGGAGAGGAAGAACTCCACCAGGCCCTCGTCTGAGTCCGGCACCACGCGGCTCTGCGGGGAGATGCGGGGCGAGGGGCAGGGCAGAGGGCGGGGGAAGGCAGAGCAGAGGTGGGGGGAGAGGCAGAGCAGACAGTGAGGCGATGTGGGCTTCCATGTCCGGCAGCTCCGTGCAGCGCAAGAACTCCAACAGGCAGCACTACCCGGTACCACCCAGTACCACCCGGTACCACCCGGCTCTGCGCCAGGCGCGGCATGTGGGGAGAGGGGGGCGGGGGAAGAGGGGGAGCGGGGAGAGAGGGGAGAGGGGGGAGGTGGGGGACGGGGGGGGGGCGCAGGGCAGAACGTGTGGGGGCCAAAAGGGAGAGAGTGAGGGAGGGAGTCGGAAGGAATGGGGGAAAAGGTAGGGAGAGGGGAGAGAGGATAATGAGGAAAGCAGAAAGGTGTCGTGGAGAACGATGGGCTGGCAGCAAGCATTAAAACAGATGGATGGAGAGGTGGGTAGGTAGATGGCTGAAGAGAGAGGTGGAGGGGAGGGAGTGAAAGGGAGACAGGAGGCAAGTTGGGGGCAGAGGGGGCGGAGGGGAACGCACAGCGCGCGCCTCCCTGCGCCTGGCGGCCTCTTCTCGGGCGGCCGCCTCCTGCCGGGCGCGCTCGTGCTCGTCGTCCACCATGCGCTGCTGCTGCTGCCGCCGCGCTATGTGCCCCGGCTGCGGCGCCGCCAGAATGCCCTCGGGGTCCTGCCGAGGGGCCAGGGCGGGCACAGGGGAGAGCAGCAGGGCGGAGGGGAGAGCAGCAGGGCGGAGGGGAGCGGCAGGGCAGAGGGGGAGGTGGTGAGGTGCACCCGTGGGAGAGGGCAGCAGCACGGAGAAGCATGCACTGCACCGAATGCTCTTAACGCGTGCGCAAGCGCGTGCGGCAGCATTGGCACAGGTCGACCAGCCTTCTGCACCACAGGTCTTGCGCCCCGCGCCGCACCCCGCTGCCGTTGCACGCCTCGCCTCACGTGGACTGCGCGTGGCGCACACTAGCATCCGCGCAGGCAGGGAGCACACGAGAGAGACAGGGGAAAGGAGAAGCAAGCACGGCACATGAAGACAATGCAGGGGGCGGAATGAGAGACGCGGAATGGGGGAGGCGGAATTGGGGGGGGCAGAATGGGGGAGGCGGAATGGAGGGGGGCAGAATGGGGGAGGCGGAATGAGGGAGGCGGAATGAGGGAGGCGGAAGGGAGGCGAAAGGCGAAAGAGCGGGGCGGAAAGGAGGCGCACCCATCCAACGGCGACGACGTGGAGTGAAGGGGAGCGGCGGGTGCGCGGACGAGGGGCACGAGGCGCGTAGAGCGGCGCTAGGGAGGGCGCCAGGCGCAGATGGCAAGACACACGCAAAACCGCCGACGACAGCGCCATGGGTACTCGGACAGATTTCGCTGTGTGAAACGCCCGCGTAAACGTTGGCGGCGGAGGCAAGGTACGACGATAGTTAGCGATTTACCGCGGGTGACGGCGATACGCAAAGGAGCTGTGGTTCACTAACTGCTAGGTCATCAGGCGGGAGCGCGTCGTGTGATTGGCTGGCTGCCTGAAGGGCAGGGTTTGTCAACAGGTTCAGGGCAGGGCTTACCTTAGAGTTTTCATCCACAAAACAAATCGGGGTATCTTTCTCGCGGGGCCCGGATTAACGGGTGTATGTGAAACGCTACCACTCGATGTCCGGGTTCAGTCCCGAAATATTTTTCCAAGAGGACAAACGCTCTTACGAAAAGTTCCTGGATTCTAGAAGGGGAACCATGTAAGAGGTACTCCGCTCCGCTCTTTAATTCCACCTCTGCAACTTCCTTGCTAGGGATGATTTGCCCTGGGGAGAGGGAAGGCGGGGGATCGGTGGGGTGGTGTGAGAAGTTTTAGGGCTTGTTAGTATCCGTGTTTGTCAAAACCTAACACTTCACTTCACATGTTCTGGTCAAAATGTATCCGTCAGATTCCGGGTTCATGAAATTCGAACAAGTCGCAAACTGATTTCGGTCCGGAATTCACCCACTATTCGGTCAAACGCCGGGAAATTACCCGTTGAAAAGAAGCTCTGGTTCAGGGTTGATGCGTGTTGGGACATGTCAACTTGTAACCTTGTTTCAAGTGGCTTATATTTGACCCAATGTCGAAATTAAAAAATTTCCCTCATACTGATTTCAGGGCGTGTCCAGCGCGTTCATTTTGCCCCAAGACGAATTTTTGACGTTTTTTTCACACGCAGAAATATTGATTTGCCAAGTGTTGGGCTGAGAAAAGCCCTTAGGATCTTTCCAGAGACTAAGTCTCAGTTGTAGAATGAGATTTGTGTAGTGCAGCGGAAGTTGAGGCAGTTGAACCCTTGTACTAGTATATGAGAACAAGTGATTGATTAAAGAGTTAAGCATACAGCAATATATAGGAAAATAGGAAAGTGAAGCAGTTGTAGAATACAGTTGCAGGAGCGGTTATCGAGTCGCACAGCGACTCGATTGTCGCTTCGGTTACCATCCGCGCTGTTGTAACGGTCAGTCGCAACCTCCAGTTGCGACCCTTCAAGTCCCTTCGCGTTCTTTGTCCATCCCTTCGTGTAACCTCCGTTGACTCGCGTACCCGTTGTGATCTTCCTCGAGTGTAGTGTTATACTTCAGAAACGCTTAAGTCCTTTGAGATATTTCCAACACCAAGTGTGAATCTGTTGTTATACACCTTCTGTATCAACAGCAAAACGCTGGGACACGAGTGGACACGAGTCCCGCCCGTGGCTCGACAGATGAGCGGGTGCGCAGCGCGGACATAACAGATTGACACGCGAAAACATCAGGGTAACCAAATTTCGCCCTGGGAATTTCGCCACGCGAAAACATCAGTCGAGTCGCGCATGCAACTCCAATTCTTCTTCCGCTTTTTTCGCCGTGCTTCGTAAGCATCACGAAATCCTGGCGAATGTAAGCGTTCTATTTTTCGCCAGCCAGGATTTGGACCAGGCCCCCAGAAGTCAGGAAATTTTTCCTGATTCAGGAAAAAAAAGGGAGTTTCTCGGTACTTACCCTGATTGTGCAGGGTTTTGTAAATGACACACCCTGTTTTTTCAGGCTTTTTGTAAGGGTAAACTCTGATCGCTCAGCAAGGTTTCTAAGCGAACCCTGAATTTCTCAGCATTGTAGCGGGTCTTAGTCCTTTCCAAAAGCGTGTCAGGGGGGGGGCAGTCAAGAATTTCGAGGTTCTCCCCCCACCCCTTCCCCCACCCCTCGAGGCTGTGTGAGGGCGCTGATTGGCCCTTGGTAAAAAAATCTCCGCGCTGTATGTTGGAGGACATGTGAGGGAGGTCATTGGCCCTTAGCCATATATTCGCCTCGATGTGTGCTGCTGAGGACTGTGTGAGGGCAATTGCTGGCCCTTGACCGAATTTGCTTGATGTGCGCCTGCCCTAGGGCTCTGCGAGGGAAGAAATTCCCTCCGCCCCTGCAATCTCGTCACCTCCCCCCCTATTCAGCCCGTCCCCCCTCTCCCCCCCACCAATTGTCGTTTCCTGCCCATCCCCCAATCTCGCCCCACACGCGCGAATTCGCTACGAATTCCCAGCACCCCCAACAACCAAGACTTGAACACACATAATTCATGAACTATAACATGTACAGAAAGATTGAGAAATCAGTAAATTTTTTTGAAGTAATTCTGATGGCTCAGGATTTTTTTTTAGGGGACCCTGAAAATTCAGACTTTTTTGCAGGGAGAATCCTGATGGATCAGGAAGCCTCAAAACCAATCTAGGGCCCTGATTTGGACGTTTCTGCCGTGTACATAATTTGCGCACGATTTTCACTCGGTTCAGAAACGTGTGGCCCACGTCTGTGGGCACGTCTGGAAGGTGTCCGCTGAAACCGTCAATTTATCGTGCGTGTCCGAATGGACACGAAATTTCGGGTTACCAGGACGAAATCTTGTACCTGATCCGCAAAGTAAATAGTAAACGAACGCGCTGGACACGCCCTCAGTGTACGGCTTCGCCAACGGTCGCAAAAACGGCCTCGCAGGATCTGCGCTTCTCGCGTGCAGTCTCGTTGTTCTGATATAAAAAATGTAGATGAACAATCTTGTGGGAATACAAGGTCATATCCCAAAAGGGCACCGGTCGAAAAGGGCACCGGCCCAAAAGGGCACCGGTCGAAAAGGGCACCAGTCGAAAAGGGCACCGGTCGAAAAGGGCACCGGTCGAAAAGGGCACCGGTCGAAAAGGGCACCGGTCGAAAAGGGCACCGGTCGAAAAGGGCACCGGTCGAAAAGGGCACCGGTCGAAAAGCGCACCGGTCGAAAAGCGCACCGATCGAAAAGCGCACAGGTCGAAAAGGGCACCGGTCGAAAAGGGCACCGGTCGAAAAGGGAACCGGTCGAAAAGCGCACCGATGGAAAAGCACACCGGTCGAAAAGGGCACAGGTCGAAAAGCGCACCGGTAGAAAAGCGCACCGGTCGAAAAGCGCACCAGTCGAAAAGCGCACCGGTCGAAAAGCGCACCGGTCGAAAAGGGCACCGGTCGAAAAGGGCACCGGTCGAAAAGCGCACCGGTCGAAAAGCGCACCGGTCGAAAAGCGCACCGGTCGAAAAGCGCACCGGTCGAAAACCGCACCGGTCGAAAACCGCACCGGTCGAAAAGCGCACCGGTCGTAAAGCGCACCGGTCGAAAAGGGCACCGGTCGAAAAAGGGCACCGGTCGAAAAGCGCACCGGTCGAAAAGGGCACCGGTCGAAAAGGGCACCGGTCGAAAAGGGCACCGGCCCAAAAGGGCACCGGTCGAAAAGCGCACCGGTCGAAAAGGGCACCGGTCGAAAAGGGCACCGGTCGAAAAGGGCACCGGTCGAAAAGGGCACCGGTCGAAAAGGGCACCGGTCGAAGAGGGCACCGGTCGAAAAACGCGCCGGTCGAAGAGGGCACCGGTCGAAAAGGGCACCGGTCAAAAAGGGCACCGGTCGAAAAGCACACCGGTCGAAAAGCACACCGATCGAAAAGCGCACCGGTCGAAAAGGGCACCGGTCGGAAAGGGCACCGGTCGAAAAGGGCACCGGTCAAAAAGCGCACCCGTCGAAAAGGGCACCGGTAGAAAAGCGCACCGATTGAAAAGCACACCGGTCGAAAAGGGCACATGTTGAAAAGCGCACCGGTAGAAAAGCGTACCGGTCCAAAAGCGCACCGGTCGAAAAGCGCACCGGTCGAAAAGCGCACCGGTCGAAAAGCGCACCGGTCGAAAAGCGCACCGGTCGAAAAGGGCACCGGTCGAAAACCGCACCGGTCGAAAAGCACGCCGGTCGAAAAGCACAACGGTCGAAAAGGGCACCGGTCGAAAACCGCACCGGTCGAAAACGGCACCGGTCGAAAAGCGCACCGGTCGTAAAGCGCACCGGTCGAAAAGGGCACCGGTCGAAAAGAGCACCGGTCGAAAAGGGCACCGGCCCAAAAGGGCACCGGTCGAAAAGGGCACCGGTAAAAAAGGGCACCGGTCGAAAAGCACACCGGTCGAAAAGCGCACCGGTCGAAAAGGGCACCGGTCGGAAAGGGCACCGGTTGAAAAGGGCACCGGTCGAAAAGGGCACCGGTCGAAAAGGGCACCGGTAGAAAAGCGCACCGATTGAAAAGCACACCGGTCGAAAAGGGCACAGGTTGAAAAGCGCACCGGTAGAAAAGCGTACCGGTCCAAAAGCGCACCGGTCGAAAAGCGCACCGGTCGAAAAGCGCACCGGTCGAAAAGCGCACCGGTCGAAAAGCGCACCGGTCGAAAAGCACACCGCTCGAAAAGGGCACCGGTCGAAAACGGCACCGGTCGAAAAGCTAGCCGGTCGAAAAGCACAACGGTCGAAAAGGGCACCGGTCGAAAACCGCACCGGTCGAAAACGGCACCGGTCGAAAAGCGCACTGGTCGTAAAGCGCACCGGTCGAAAAGGGCACCGGTCGAAAAGAGCACCGGTCGAAAAGGGCACCGGCCCAAAAGGGCACCGGTCGAAAAGGGCACTGGTCGAAGAGGGCACCGGTCGAAAAGGGGACCGGTCAAAAAGGGCACCGGTCGAAAAGCACACCGGTCGAAAAGCGCACCGGTCGAAAAGGGCACCGGTCGGAAAGCGCACCGGTTGAAAAGGGCACCGGTCAAAAAGCGCACCGGTCGAAAAGGGCACCGGTAGAAAAGCGCACCGATTGAAAAGCACACCGGTCGAAAAGGGCACAGGTTGAAAAGCGCACCGGTAGAAAAGCGTACCGGTCCAAAAGCGCACCGGTCGAAAAGCGCACCGGTCGAAAAGCGCACCGGTCGAAAAGGGCACCGGTCGAAAAGGGCACCGGTCGAAAAGCGCACCGGTCGAAAAGGGCACCGGTCGAAGAGGGCACCGGTCGAAAAACGCGCCGGTCGAAGAGGGCACCGGTCGAAAAGGGCACCGGTCAAAAAGGGCACCGGTCGAAAAGCACACCGTTCGAAAAGCGCACCGGTCGAAAAGGGCACCGGTCGGAAAGCGCACCGGTTGAAAAGGGCACCGGTCAAAAAGCGCACCGGTCGAAAAGGGCACC